CAAGATGGATTAAAGATGTAAGACCTAAAACTATAAAAGTTTTATAGAGGAAAACCTAGAAACACCATTTTGAACATCAGCTTTGGCAAAGAACTTATGACAAAGTTGCCAAAAGCAGTTGTAACACAAAGAAAGATGGACAAACAGGGCCTGACTAATTTTAATTTTTAATTAGTCAAGTAATGGTCTTGTTTAGTTTGAGTGTTTAAGTACAATGAAGAACACATCGACTTGTTTTCTCATTTATCTTATTGGGAGTTTGTAAATAAGCAACTCTGCTGTATGACTCATTAATAAAACATAGACTTTTGCCCTTTGAAAAAACACCTTGAAGCTGCTTTTATATATTTATGACAGATTTCACTTGCTGTCATGACTCATGGATGGTAATAATTATAATTTATTTGAAGGTCGTTGTTTTCTTTTCTTAGTATGGGGGTAGTTTTAGCTGAGACATTCAGTCTAAACTGAAAATTTTAGTGTACTATATATATATCTGGAGTATTTGTATATTATTCTGTTTATTTTCCTTGCAAGTATTTTCTTCAATTTAAAAATTATTATGTGTGGGTATATTTGCATAATATATTTTCTGTGATTACTTGTTAATTTATAGTAAATTACAATTACTTTAATGAATTTTCATATAAACATATTTGTTACTTAGGGAGATTTATCAAAACACTTGAATTTTTTGTTTGTAAATATTCCAAACAAACATTCATTATTGCCAGCTTTTACAGCTGGTCAATATTTTTTTAGCAAGAGCAGAAATGTATGCAATTGACCTGAAAGGACCTTGACAGATATCAAGTAGTCTCCATGATATACAGGCATTGCATTTCGACTTTGTTACTCAAGATTATGTTTTCCTTATTATATTGTGCTTGCTAAAGGGGAAGATACTAACATTATTGTCAGCATGGCACAGATAATTTTCACCTAAATTAGTTGATTTCTGCAATGCTACTATATGTGCTGCCTGTAAAAGCCCAGGAGGCATAATTCCATTTCATTTTTATTAAATAATTGTTGCAAAAAAAGTTATGAATTCTTCCATCTTAAAAACATAAATCCAGCCTTGACCCTATATCCCCTTCATCTATGATCCCCTCTCCAATTTTCTTCATTCCTTGTTAGCAAATCTTATTGAAAAGTGGCCTGTACTTTGATTCTGATAGCCTCTCTCCCTTCTTTTTCTTGAAAACACTAACCAGGTCTTCATCCCCATCACTCTGTTGAAATCTTAATTTCTTAGGTCACCACTGACTTCCATATTATGAAATAAGTCAATCGTCGTCTTCTGATTACTTGGCCATTCTCTTTCTTGAAGTGCTTTATTCCATTGTTTTCCAGGGAATGCACCTCTTCTGGATTTTGTCTAAACACACTGGCTTTTCCTTCTCAGTTTCAGGTGTTGAGTCCCTTCATCTTTCTGACCTCTAAATGTTGGGTTATCCTAGGGTTTAGTCTGGGACCCCTTTTCTTTTTTCTTTCTCTTTCTTTTTATTTATTTATTTATTTATTTATTTATTTATTTATTTATTTATTTTTTGAGACAGAGTCTCACTGCGAGACCTGGGCTGGAGTGCAGTGGCACAATCTCAGCTCACTGCAACCTCCGCCTCCCAGGTTCAAGTGATTCTCCTGCCCCAGCCTCCCGAGTGGCTGGGACAACAGGTGCATGTCACCATGCCCAGATTATTTTTTTGTATTTTTAGTAGAGAAGGCGTTTCACCATACTGGCTAGGCTGTTGTCGAACTCCTGACCTCAAGTGATCCATCTGCCTTGGCCTCCCAAAGTGCTAAAATTACAGGCATGAGGCACTGTGCCCAGCCCTTTTTTTTTTTTTTTTTTTGACACAAGGTATCACTCTGTTGACCAGACTGGAGTGCAGTGATGTAATCACGGCTCACTGCAGCCTCAACCTCCTCCAGCTCAAGTGATTCTCCCACCTCAACCTCCCGAGTAGCTGGGACTACAGGTGTGCACCACCACGCCCAGCTAATTTTTTGTAATTTTTGTAGAGACAGAGTCTCCCAAGGTTGCCCAGACTGGTCTGTAGCTCCTGAACTCAAGCAATCCACCTGCCTTGACCTCCCAAGTGTTGGGATTACAGGCGTGAGCCACCATGCCTGGCCAGGGACCCCCTTTTCTTTTTAATCTATACCTACTATCTAGATGATCCCATCTAATCCCATCTGTATGCTGATAACTCCCGAATTTAAGTTTCTAGAGATTTTGTCCCTTGATTTGAATATCCAAACTAGCTACATGATACTTCCTTTTGAAATTAACATTTCCAGAATTCTTTGTTTTCCTTCAGTCTTGATTTCCCAGTGTTCTCCATTTCAATAAATGGTACCACCATTCATTCTGTTGCTCTATGCCATCCCTGATTCTATTTTTTCCCACAGCCTCATCCAACACATCTTGTAGTTTCTCCCTCAAAACACAACTGAAATTTGATGATTTGGCATCCTGTGCAACTACTATCATCTTTTTTCTGAACAACTGTCACAGCTCTTAAACTCTTCACCCTTGTTCCCTAAAGTCTGTTGTCCACTCAGGAAAATATCTATGTTATATGATCTTGTGCAGTCACTGCTGTTAACTCTCCAATTTTACAAATGAGACTTAAAATAAAATCCAAGTCTGTGCCCTATGAGGCCCCACAGGTCAAATTCACATGGGTATTCTGTAGTTATTCACGTGGTTTGCTCATTCACTCTTTTTAGGTTTATCTCAGTATTCTTTAGATAAACCTCTGACAATCCTATGAAACTGCTTCTATCACTCTAATCTCATACCCTGCTTAGAGGTTTTTGCACTTATAATCAGTAAACGTTACATTACATATGTACTTGTTTATCTGTTCAGTATTTCTCTTCCCTATGAAAATAAATTACATGACCACAGGAACTTGGCTTTATCCATTTAGGTATACTCAGTACTGAGATGAGCACTTGGCATATCCAATCCATTTACTAGGCTTCCATATAATAGATAATCATTACTCTGACCAAAATCATTCCTATATCTCACAAAAAACTATGTATTTTTTCTGTCCTTGGAATTTTTTTTTTCAAGATGGAGTCTTGTTCTGTTGCCCAGGCTGTAGTATAGTGACACGATCTCTGCTCACTGCAGACTCCGCCTCCAGGGTTCAAGCAATTCTCCTGCCTCAGCCTCCCAAGTAGCTGGGATTACAGGAGTGTGCCACCACGCCCAGCTAATTTTCGTATTTTAGTAGAGACAGGGTTGCACCATGTTGACCAGGCTGGTCTTGAACTCCTGACCTCAGGTAATCCACCTGCCTCAGCCTCCCAAAGTGCTGGGATTACAGGCATGAGCCACCACGCCTGGACTGTCTTTGGAAATTTTATTAAACTTGCCTACTACCCAGTGAGATTAAACATTTTCTCTTCTTTTAACAAAAGAAGATATCATTGAAAATGTTGCCATCCACTTTTATAACTAGCATAGAGAAGATAAGTTGACCTGGACAGATCTTCTTTGTTCTGGAAAGAGTCACAACTTTGGTTATGTACTCTGAGATATGAAGTATCTGATTATCTGGGGAATGGTAGAGCTGGTTCCCAAAATTTGTCGTATGGTATCAGAAAAAAATCATTGTTATTTTTGATTACTCTGAATGTTTTAAGAGTGCCTATATCAAGCTTGGTTAACACAATTGCCTTTTCTTCATATAAAAGTAAAATAAAAAATTATTAGAAAATAATGAACCTGTATCAAATGTCAAAATAAGGTGTTTGAAAATGTATAATGGGTGATATGATTTGCCTTTGATTCCCCACCCAAATCTCATCTCAAATTCTAATCCCCACATATTGAGGGAGAGACCTGATGGGAGCTGACTGAATCAAGGGGGTGGTTCTCATCTGTTGTTCTCGTGATAGTGAGGGAGTTCTTATGATGTCTGATGGTTTTAAAAATGGCAGTTTCCCCGACACACTCTCTCTCTCTTCTGCCACCTGTGAAGAAGGTGCTTGCTTCTCCTTCACCTTCTACCATGATTGTAAGTTTCCTGAGGCCTCCTCAGACATGCAGAACTGTGGGTCAATTAAACCTCTGCTGTTTATAAATTACACAGTCTCAGAATACAAGAGTTGAGGTTTGGGAGCTTCTGCCTAGATTTCAGAGGATATGTGGAAACACCCGGATGTCCAGGCAGAAGTCTGCTGCTGTGGTGGAACCCTCATGGAGACCCTCTGCTAGGGCAGTGCAGAGGGGATATGTGGGGCTGGAGCCCTCAAAGAATCCCTGATGGGGCTCTGCCTAGCAGAGCTGTGAGAAAAAAGGGTCACCATTCTCCAGACCCCAGAATGGTAGATCCCCTGACAGCTTGCACCATGTGCCTGGAGAAGCCACAGACAATACCAGCTTGTGAAAGTAGCTGCAGGAGCTGTATCCTCAAGAGCCACAAGGGCAGAGCTGCCCAAGGCTGTGGGAGCCCACACCTTCCATCAGAGTACCCTGGATGTGAGACATGCAGTCAAAGCAGATCATTTCAGAGCTTTAAGATTTAATGACTGCCCTTCTGGGTTTTGGACTTGCATGGGGCATGGGGCATGGGGCATGGGGTCCCTTTGTTTTGGCCAACTTCTCCTATTTGGAATAGCAACATTTACCCAGTGCCTGTATCCCATTGTATTTTGGAAGTAACTAACTTGCTTTTGATTTTACAGGCTCATGGGTGGAAGAGACTGTTGGGAAGGCATGATTGGTTTTGAAATATGAAAAGGACATGAGATTTGGGAGGGGCCAGAGGCAGAAATTATATGGTTTGACTCTGTCCCCACCCAAATTTCATCTCAAATTGTAATCTCGTGTTGAGGGAGGGACCTGGTGGGAGGTGATTGGATCATGGGGGCGGATTCCCCCATGCTGTTATTATGACAGTGACAGAGTTCTCACGAGATGTTTGTTTGATATGTCTTGCATTTCCCCGCTCTCTTTCTCTCCTCCACTATGTAAGATGTGCCTTGCTTGCCCTTCAACTTCCATCATGACTGCAAGTTTCCTGAGGCCTCCCCAGCCATGTGGAACGGTGAGTCAATTAAACCTCTTTCCTTTATAAATTACCCAGTCTCAGGTACTATCTTTATGGCAGTATGAAAATGGACTAACTTTGCTTGTGTGACTTTTAAATATCAAGCTTTATATTTGAGATGTCCACATGCAATCCTGATCAAGACATTTAAAGATTATCTCATCAAACCCTTAGAGACCAAACATTTTGTTAGCATAAATAGATAATACAATTTTTGAAAACATATACTGCATCATCAAATCCTTTGCACTGGAATCATATTTAAGTAACCAAGCAGTGTTCTTTTCTTTCATTAACAATTAAAATGCTAAGATTCCATGTGATAAAGCAACTTCAAATCATGTTGAATATTTTGTGAAATACAGTGTATCAAGATAATCATGGAGTTCTGGTTTGATGAATGGCACTTCCATGGTTGGAATGGATAGTGCATTCACCCTGTAGCTAGTTTGGATGCCTCTAAAAGTTCACACAAACTATGAAAGGCAGTATATACTTGAAGACAGAGAACTGTACCCTCCAGGAGACTCCATGTAGCCTCCAGGCACCACCCAGCTTCTATTAGTCTGGCCATTAGGCTGGCCACCATAGTGATGCAAGACAGATGAATAATGTACTCAGACCCTGAATATTCAGTGAAAGAGCAGTTAGGGTGCCGGGCCACATACAGAAAGATTTGTGGCAGTTGCACAACTTGACTAGCTGGCCCTGTGGGCATTTATTCAGCACAGATTAATGACAAAGGCTTTGAGTCAACACACCTGTGGATAATTAACCTGGTCGCCCTCCCCAGGAGAGAGCCATCCTGCCTGGGAATGATCAAAGGTTAGTCTTAGGACCACATGAGTAAACAAGCTATTTAGATAAACTCCCTTATATTCTTTGTATCTACGCCCTAAGCTCTCTGGTTCCTGAAAAGAGAATCTGCCTGTCTTCAGCCAAATCTACTGAAGCTATGCAACACCCCCACCCTTCCAAGAAGGTTTGTGTCTATTTCCTATAACTATATCTATAATTTTTCCAACCACACTGATCGATCCCCTACAGTGATGTGTTTTGGGCATCTGAGAAATGAACCCCTCCAGCAGCCCACAGGCCCCTATCCATGGCAAGTAGCATACTCCACAGCTGGCTACTGAAAAGGATTTCATATGATTGAGGATATTCATGGCCAAGGTAAAGCAGTGACTGTGCATGTCCCTCACTTTGTAGTAACCTGCAAGTACAAAGTGGCACACCAGTAAGCCCGCGTCTCCACGTGGCACCCTTCTAGAAGCCTATCTGAAGCAGTTTGAGCCAGAGGGGACACACTCAACTGGGGCTCTGTCCTAAGCTTCTGTAACTCCCTGACAGGAACCCCCCACCCCCACAGCATTTGTAGTGTATTAGTGCACTTTAGCTCATGTATGTGCTTCAATACACCAGTTGGAAATTTCTGGGGAAGAAAACATAACCAGGAAGGCTTGCGGAGCTGTTTCATTTGGGCCTTGCAGTGTTCACTTTAAGAGTTTTGTTTGTTTAGTTGACATGGACACTGATATTTTAAAATACAAATTCTGTCAAGGCAACCATTAGCTGTTATTGAGGAAGAGGTAGGCTCTGTATCCCCAGTTCATCATCACCCTTGCCCCTCCATTTTGCCTGTTCAATACTGAGGTCATTTGTCCTCACACATTTATCAACACACTTACAATTATTTTTCTGGTGGTAGAACCAGAAAAAAGTCAAATATTTCTTTTATTTGTGTCTGTTAAAATGAAAAATCTAGTGATAGAAACAAATTCATGTTTCAAGAAAAATAGTTCAGGGTGTGGGAAAAAGCCCCTAAAGTAAAAATTAGAAAAAAGTAGCCACAAGCAACCATGCAATCTACTCACTAGGATAGAAGCATCACTGTAGACCTTGACTTCAGCATCCACGCTTGGGCATATCTGAATTACAGCTCTATTCAAATGATAGTTCTATCTGGGATTCATTTTTTAGACTGAATGAACCAGTAAACCCTGGGCTTATTTCTTTTTTTTTAATGTATTTAATATTGACAAAGGAAGGACACCAAGACAGAAAAAAAATAGTGCTCTGGATAGTGCTTACTTAGTTGTAAATATTAGAATATATTGAGCTTATTTTCTTTCCCAACTTAATGCAATGATACACACATATGTGGTTTTTCATTTAAAAGATTATTTTGTTGAAACTGAAAAAATAGTGTAATATGTAAGTAAAATTTCAAACTATTTGTTAGTTATGAGTCATAATATATAATTCCATTTTAATACTCATACAATTTCTATGTTATCTATAAAGTCCTTGTTCGTTTATATAATATACATGCATTACAAACATTCATGCACTATATATATATATATATATTTTTTTTTTTTTTTTCTTTTGAGACGGAATTTCGCTCTTGTTGCCCCAGGCTGGAGTGCAATGGCGTGATCTCAGCTCACCGCAACCTCCGCCTCCCAGGTTCAAGAGATTCTCCTGCCTTAGCCTCTCTAGTAGCTAGGATTACAGGCATGTGCCACCACACCCAGATAATTTTGTATTTTTAGTAGAGACGGAGTTTCTCCATGTTGGTCCGGCTGATCTCGAACTCCTGACCTCAGGTGATCCGCCTGCCTTGGCCTCCCAAAGTGCTGGGATTACAAGCGTAAGCCACTGCACCCGGTCATATTCATGCACTATTTTTGTATTTTACTTTTAACTTACTATTCTATCAGCCAAAGATTATCCAGAACCAACTGATAAACTAGATATGTCAAAATGTGGAAAATATAGTTCCTGTCCTCATAAAGTGCTCATTTAAGTTGGAAAATAGACGTATACATTTTAAAAGGTGCGGCCTTCAATAACAGTCATTTAGGGTAGGGAAACAGTGTAGAGAAGAGAGTAAGTTACACTGTGTGTGGGATGGGTAGGAATCACAGTAGACTTTCCTCAAAGGGGATCCATGAACACCATGGAGTTATTTTTAAAAGTTATATGGCCATGCATACAGAAATATAACTGAATTCAATTAATCTCTAGATGGGGATTTGTTTCATCATATCTACTTCAAGTGAATGGATTCCATTATTTTGTATGGTTACTACAAGTCTCCCAGAAATCATAATATAATTTGGTTTTAAAAGCATTACAAGAACCCTAAAGCTTATGTCAAAAATAAAGTGGGTTCAAGAACAAAATCTGAAATGAAGAGTTACTAGGTTTACTTGAACTGTTGCTTTCTTCCTCAGTATTCAATCCAGGTTTAAGTCCTTCAGCATCTGACATTCTCCTAGCAACTGTAATTGAATCAATGATGACTCATCAGAGATGAGCAAGTTGGTCCAGTTAGACCAAACAAAAGACATTCTATAATCAGGAAAGAAGTCTTCTCTATATCCCTCTTATATGAGCAAGTAAGCATTATTATTATTGCTTTGTGGTTTTGAAACTGTGGCCAAATATATGTAAAATTTACTATCTTAACCATTTTTAAGTGTAGGGTTCAGTAGTGTTACATACATTCTCACTGACATGCAAGTGATCTCCAGAACTCTCTTCATCCTGCAAAAACTGAAATTCTATGCCCATTAAACAACTCACATCCTATGTCTTGTAGTTCTGGAAATATAAAAAGGCATCTAGTTTTATTTATAACATTTCCTTTATTTATCAACAGCAATGATATGACATTACAAAGTGATCCATGACATCTTTTTAAATCTTGCACATGAACTGCAGCAAGGTTAATCCTGCATGTGAAAACTTCTGAGTGACTATCTCAAAGTCTGTCATATAACCTGCTGAGTTTTCTGACACTGTAATACTAGATACAAGATGTCTGAATAACTCCTTATATTTGTAAATTCTTATTTAATTTTATAGCTTTAATGAGGTTCATCATTTCTAATAATGATATTGGCTACAAGAATAATGATCATATTATTTATCATTTGTAAAGCTTTACCATTTGTTAAGCAACAAATTGCCCAATAACAATTAAATTGTAGTTACAGCATCTAAAATTATTAGAAAATTATATTAGCATGGAAATATGTTCATGATATATCACTGAGTGAAAAAAATCTGGCTACCAAATATGTAGTCTGATCTCATTCTTATTTAAAATAATAAAAAATATGTGTATGTTTGAAAATATGCACATATGCACATTAGTATTTGTATTTTATATATATTTTGTACATTATATATATATATGCATACATATTTGTATATACACACAGATAGCACAGGAGAGAGAAAGAGTGGGAGAGAAAGAGGAGGGAGGAGCAATCTCTTTTTTCTCAGCTTAATTTCGGCTACAGGAGAAAGTACACTAGAAACTAATTAATGGGAAGAGTACACAATAATATGTTAGTTATAATTATCTTTGGGAGATGAGAACTGGGAACATGGGTGACTTTTGCTTATTTGCATTTTCTAATTATTTAATAATTATATAATTATATTATCTATCTCTAATCTGTGTAGTAAAACATCAGTTTTATATCCAAATTTTTAGTCATTTATAATAAAAGGTATATTAGCATAATACGATTGTTTCATCCTTAGCCCACAAATAAAACTCACACCACATTTCCTAACACTATGGGCATTTTGGAACACAGTCAATAGTGTCACCCAATAAAATAAATCTTGAATGGTTGATTTTAATACATTAAACATTACATGAAAACATACTACCAAAAAGCAGACATTAATATATTCTTAATAATTTTTAAGACACCCTAAATTCAATACCAAGAATTTTGCCTACCTAAATTAACATTATACAATTACATGTAATATACATATACAAAATGGCATAATCACATGAAATTTTAAAGTAAAAATAACTCAGAGAAGGCTCCAGTTTAACATTTACACAGCATTTTATTATCCTATTAGCCAGTGTAAATGCAAACTAGGAAAGTTGATACCTTTGTTTTATGTAAAAGGAAGCATATGGGTTTAAATACCTTTTTATATAGCACTATTGAAATTGGAGTCAAGATTAAATTAGGGAAATCTAAGTTTCTTTTACTAGTTTTTTCTTAGGAATGATTAAGACTAACATGTAATTTCCCCTACTTTGTGAAATTCCTTTTCTTTATTGTATCTTAGTCCATGACACAGAATTTAAGGAACTTCATTATTTCCCCTTACTTTAAATGATAGTGTAGGTACCCAAATAGCTTTGATCTGGTGGACAGTTATGAAGAAGGCAGTGGAGGAATAAGGAAATAAATAAGAGGACATGAATCAATGAAATTAATAATAACCACAGTTCAAAAGTTAGTGTGGAAGTTTTATCAATATTGAAATTGTGGAATGGTGAGCAGAATACAATTGGGACACCTGATACTGAGATCTAACTCTAAATGTACTGTAGTTAGTTGTAGGAGATTGGACAAGTCAAAAGTACTTGACAATCAGTTTCTTCAACTTAGAAATAAAAGAGTTTAGGCCAGGTTTACTAAAGTATTAAAACCCCTTTCAGAGGCATAGTTCTATAATTCTAAGGAACATAAGACTGTGGATACCTATCTACTGTCAGGTACTGCTTTGGCAACAGTGAAAATATCAGTTTCAGTATAACTTTAAACAATAAATGGATTAACATTTTTGAAGTATGAGGCAAATACTAACCACTGGAATGTTTTTATCCCATAAATAGTTACTTTCTTTCATTAAGAAAACTTTAACCTCTTGATCTAAAATGCCATATTGCATCTTTTAAGTTATATAGCATTACCACTTTCTTCATTATTATGAAACTTAAATTCTGTTTACTACTTTATTTTTTAGTATTAATATTTAAATTTATCCACAAATGTGCTTTCTAAGGAAACTTTTAAGTAATGTTTTAAAATATTCATAAAATGTGTTTTCCTTACTTTGAGATCTCTGCATTCTTTAAGTGACCAATGTGATTTATAAAACCAGAACTTTTATATGAAAGTCTATATACTTTTAATGTCCTTAATTTGAATTAATCATTCCTTTATAATACAAATTAATGTAAACCTAATGAGTAAATATCTATATTGAGATGACATACTTCCTAAGGAAATATGAGAAAATCATACCTTTTAAATAAGTAAATATATTCAAAAGAATATTATCAAGCTTGATTCTCTCCCTTGGATCTTAGGAAGTAAACAATAGTACTGTATTTTCACCCACCTTCCCAAACACAGCTTTATTTGTGCTAGAAGAGGTGATTTTATTCAACTAGTTAATTTCATCACAGGTTGCTGTAAACAGGAAATAGTATGTTATTTATCATAGTAAGACAAAAAAAATTTGAAGGGAATGACTTGTTGGGTCTATGCAAATACCTCATCCTACCTCGGAAGCAAGCCTAAGAAATTAATACTTACTTAGCGTTCTTTTTAGAACTAATACAAGGCATCTCTTTCTCTCTCTCTCTCTATATATATATACACACATATATATATATAATACTTTTATTATACATTAAGTTCTAGGGTACATGTGTACAATGTGCAGGCTTGTTACATATGTATACATGTGCCACGTTGGTGTGCTGCACCCATTAACTTGTCATTTACATTAGGTCTATCTCCTAATGCTATTCCTTCCCCCTCCCCACACCCCATGACTGACCCCAATGTGTGATGTTCCCCTTCCTGTGTCCAAGTGTTCTCATTGTTCAATTGCCACCTATGAGTGAGAACGTGCAGTGTTTGGTTTTTGGTCCCTGAAATAGTTTGCTGAGAATGATGGTTTCCAGCTGCATCCATGTCCCTACCAAGAACATGAACTCATCCTTTTTTAAGGCTGCATAGTATTCCATGGTGTGTATGTGCCACATTTTCTTAATCCAGTCTATCATTGATGGACATTTGGGTTGGTTCCAAGTCTTTGCTATTGTGAATAATGCTGCAATAAACATACGTGTGCATGTGTCTTTATAGCAGCATGATTTATAATCCTTTGGGTATATACCCAGTAATGGGATGGCTGGGCCCAGTGGTATTTCTAGTTCTAGGTCCTTGAGGAATCACCACACTGTCTTCCGCAATGGTTGAACCAGTTTACAGTCCCACCAACAGTGTAAAAGTGTTCCTATTTCTCCACATCCTCTCCAGCACCTGTTTTGTCCTGACTTTTTAATGATTGCCATTCTAACTGGTGTGAGATGGTATCTCATTGTGGTTTTCATTTGCATTTCTCTGATGGCCAATGATGATGAGCATTTTTTCATGTGTCTATTGGTTGTATAAATATCTTCTTTTGAGAAGTGTCTGTTCATATCCTTTGCCCACTTTTTGATGGGGTTGTTTTTTCCTTGTAAATTTGAGTTCTTCGTAGATTCTAAATATTAGCCCTTTGTCAGATGAGTAGATTGCAAAAATTTTTTACCAAGAGAGATTTTGTCACCACCAGGCCTGCCCTACAAGAGCTCCTGAAGGAAGCACTAAACATGGAAAGGAACAACTGGTACCAGCCACCGCAAAAACATGCCAAATTGTAAAGACCATTGATGCTAGGAAGAAACTGCATCAACTAATGAGCAAAATAACCAGCTAACATCATAATGATAGGATCAAATTCACACATAACAATATTAACCTTAAATGTAAATGGACTAAATGCTCCAATTAAAAGACACAGACTGGAAAATTGGTTAAAGAGTCAAGACCCATCAGTGTGCTGTATTCAGGAGACCCCTCTCACGTGCAGAGACACACATAGGCTCAAAATAAAGGAATGGAGGAAGATCTACCAAGCAAATGGAGAACAAAAAAAGGCAGGCGTTGCAATCCTAGTCTCTGATAAAACAGACTTTAAACCAACAAAGATCAAAAGAGACAAAGAAGGCCATTACATAATGGTAAAGGCATCAATTCATCAAGAGGAGCTAACTATCCTAAATATATATGCACCCAACACAGGAGCACCCAGCTTCATAAAGCAAGTCCTTAGAGACCTACAAAGAGACTTACACTCCCAAACAATAATAATGGGAGACTTTAACACCCCACTGTCAACATTAGACAGATCAACGAGACAGAAAGTTAACAAGGATATCCAGGAATTGAACTCAGCTCTGCACCAAGCTGACCTAATAGACATCTACAGAACTCTCCACCCCAAATCAACAGAATATACATTCTTCTCAGCACCACATCGCACCTATTCCAAAATTGACCACATAGTTGGAAGTAAAGCACTCCTCAGCAAATGTAAAAGAACAGAAATGATAACAAACTGTCTCTCAGACCACAGTGCAATCAAACTAGAACTCAGGATTAAGAAACTCGGTCAAAACCACTCAACTACATAGAAACTGAACAACCTGCTCCTGAATGACTACTGGGTACATAACGAAATGAAGGCAGAAATAAAGATGTTCTCTGAAACCAATGAGAACAAAGACACAACATACTAGAATCTCTGGGACACATTTAAAGCAGCGTGTAGAGGGAAATTTATAGCACTAAATGCCCACAAGAGAAAGCAGGAAAGATCAAAATTGACACCCTAACATCACAATTGAAAGAACTAGAGAAGCAAGAGTAAACACATTCAAGAGCTAGCAGAAAGCAAGAAATAACTAAGATCAGAGCAGAACTGAAGGAGATAGAGACAGAAAAAACCCTTCAAAAAATCAATGAATCCAGGAGCTGGTTTTTTGAAAAGATCAACCACATCGATAGACCGCTAGCAAGACTAATAAAGAAGAAAAGAGAGAAGAATCAAACAGATGCAATAAAAAATGATAAAGGGGATCTCACAACCAATCCCACAGAAATATAAACTACCATCAGAGAATACTATAAACACCTCTATGCAAATAAGCTAGAAAATCTAGAAGAAATGTATAAATTCCTGGACACATACATCTTCCCAAGACTAAACCAGGAAGAAGTTGAATCCCCGAATAGACCAATAACAGGTTCTGAAATTGAGGCAATAATTAATAGCCTACCAACCAAAAAAAGTCCAGGACCAGATGGATTCACAGCCGAATTCTACCAGAGGTACAAGGAGGAGCTGGTACCATTCCTTCTGAAACTACCCCAATCAACAGAAAAAGAGGGAATCCTCCCTAACTCGTTTTATGAGGTCAGCATCATCCTGATACCAAAGCCTGGCAGAGACACAACAAAAAAAGAGAATTTTAGACCAATATCCCTGATGAACATCGATGCAAAAATTCTCAATAAAATACTGGCAAACCGAATGCAGCAGCATATCAAAAAGCTTATCCACCATGATCAAGTGGGCTTCATCCCTGGGATGAGGCTGGTTCAACATACACAAATCAATAAATGTAATCTCTCTGTATTTTTTTTTTAGTGATACAGCCTGGACTGGCCAACAAGACAGAAATTTCTTCTTGCTAAAAATGTGTAATGTCAAATAACCATTATTAATCCTATCTATGTTAATGTTCTTACACTCATGAAATGGGGAAATGTAGGGCTCATGACAGTAAATCAATAATGACAACAATTAACCTTTAAGTCCTTATTATGTGTCAAATACTTTACATTAATTAATTCAGTTCTCACAACAACCTAAGAGGTAGTAATGGTTAGCCACTAAATATGATAATATAGAAGAAAATAATTGGAAAGTAAATAATTAATGTGAAATCTGTAAGATACACATTCATGATCTCACATCCCCAAAAGTAGCTGTACCTTTTTCAATTTTTTTCCTTTTACTTCCCTGGAATTTGTAAATATCTTTTTAGCTCTAAATAGATAATACAATAAACACTAAATCTATTTTGGCAGGCACTGTGTTTGGAACTATGGGGGACAGAGGAATGAGTAAGAGAGGTCCTAAGTTCCATGCTGATACTACATATTGCTGATAATTAGATCAATTTCAGAAAGTATTATAGTTCTGGCCATATTGAAAGGGTTCTAGTTTTATCTATGAAATTTCTCTTAATTGTCTATAGCACTGATACAATCTTACAAAGCCGCCTATGACATCTTATCTTGCACATGCAATGCAGCAAGAAGGCTGATGCTCAGTGCGTGAAACGTCTGGAGTGACCATCTCAAAGCCTTTGTCACATAACGTGCTGAGGTTTCTGATATTCTGATAGTAGTTATAAGATGCCTGAGTAACTCATGAAATCTTATGGATTTTTATTTCACTTGATAGACTTAATGACGTCCACCATCTCTAACAACAAGCAGCTATTTCTATAGAGAAAGATCATGTTTGGATAACAATACATGATTTTAGGCTCTAAAAGTTAAAACGTGTTTGTAATGTTGATACTATGCAGAGGTCTTGACAGAACTTAGCTGTCTCTGAGGCTACAGAGAAGTGTGAAAAAGAGCACAGAGATTTCAGAAGGAGGCAGATTCAGTCAGACAGACTGAATCCCGTTTGATCCCAGTTCAGGCACACTCCAGATGGATGGCAAATTACTTGGGTTATCTGAGCATCAGTATTTTTATCTGTAAGATGAAGCTAATAACACCTACCCTGAAAAGTTGTTGTAAAGATGTTAAATACATTTGTAAAGATACAGTAGAGATTATATATTAGATGCTCAATAAATAGGAACTGTGTATTCCCATCCATCATCTCTGCATTGCATTATTGACTAATGCTGCATTTCAACTCCGAGAGCATATACTTGGTCTGTCTTAAACCAGAGGACCAGGTCAAGTATGAGACCAATGACTACAAGGACACGCAGAGATCAAATAAATAAATAAATAAATAAATAAAGGCTTTGTGGACATTGTCAACATATTTACCTTCCCATACAGCTGTCTTCGGAATATAAGCTATAAAACTGGACTAGCTAAGATGACAATAATTGCCTAAATCACCTTTATGGCTTTAGTCTGGAAAATAATTATAGTGATAATGACCTTGAACTCCTGTGGAATTTCCATAACTAATGCATAAGTATATCACTACTGTGACATTGATGTCTTTTGGTATCACTGAAATAATACAGTGAGATAGAATTCAAAAAGAAAAATTTCAGAGGTGGACTCATTATAAAGTGCCTATGATTGTCACATAAGCCTGGAACAGATAAAGTACACTCATATTAAAACATAAGGCAGTTCTTAAATAAAAAGCCTTGATGATTAGAGTTCTACTGAACTACAGCCTCAACTGATCAAAATTCTAACTTGCACAGTACAAATGCAACTGCTTTGAGCTAAACATCAGTTTCAGAAGGAATAATATATGTGCAGTTCCCAGCGACCATTCATTTAAAAACCTGAATCTAGATTCACAATCATCCACAAATGGAATAATTTCTATTACTGAAATTAAATATACTTAACACACAGAGCTTAATGAAAAAGATCATGAATCACTCCACTGTAAGAATTATCAGGACATGATAAAACTTTATGTATCTTAATGGTAAAAACAATCTGATTATTAGATCTTCATTTGAGGCAGTTTATCTACAGTTCAAAAAAATGCTTTCACTGATTACATTCCAAAGTATCTCTCTCATTGTCAGCAGGAGTGTCTGGCATTTAATTAAAATATATTCCTCTAACTATAAATAATTGAATGTTTTTAAATCTATGGCAAATATTGGCAAACCGATAAACAACTAAATAATGTAAGAACTAGAATTATCAAAACACTTTTGTGAACACAGTTCTGCTTGGAGGGCTCCACGGAGGAAGTGCCTCACTTTCAAGAAAGGAATGACGTTTCTTCTGTTTTCGTTCAATTCTTTCTTGCCTTTCCTTATTTTCCTAAAGAGAAAATAGAACACTATACATTTATGTACATATATGAATATTATTTTCAAATCAGGTTGCTTGCTGAAGAAAATAATCCATTATAGGATATTTATATATCACTTCCTAGTTTAACAGATCATAAAGAAATAACAGGTAGGGCCGGGCATGGTGGCTCACACCAGTAATCCCAGCACTTTAGGAGACTGAGGTGGGTGGATCATTTGAGCCTGGGAGTTCGAGACCAGCCTGGGAAACATGGTGAAACATCATCTCTACAAAACAATACAAAAATTAGCCAGGTGTGGTGGCACACACCTATAGTCTCAGCTACTTAGGAGGCTAAGGTGGGAAGATTGCTTGAGCCAGGGAGGTGGAGGTTGCAGTGAGCTAAGATCGCACCACTGCACTCCAGCCTGGGCAACAGAGTGAGACTCTGTCTCAAGAAAAACAAACAAAAAATGGAAACAAGAAAAAAAACAGCCAGGAAACATTGCCAATTTGTAAGTATATCAACAGGTATTAATATCACTTAATATTTTAAACTATAAAAGTGAGAACATTAAAAAAGAATTGTATAAAATAGAAAAACAGACCTACTATTGTAACTCAAAGATAATAACTATTATAAGTTGGTGATGACTTTGTGAGAACAAATTCTCAGAAGAAAATTTACTGGGTGCAAAGTTTTAATATGTCATGACAGTATGAGATACTTCAAATTTTTTACAAATAGTTAAAAAATCTGCCTCATGTTTCTTTATTATTGAACTTGAGCACATTTTCAAACATTTCTTTAGCCCTTTCGTAAATTTTCTGCTCAATTATTTGGCCATTTAAATGTATGGTATCAGTGCCTTTAATTTTTAGCAATTTGTGTACTTTCATATAAAAAATATTAATGTTATCTTTGCATCAAACATTTTGCCTACCTTTGTGAGTCATTTTTGATCATTATACAATGTATACGTAGATGGAAACATCACACTATATCCCATAAATATGTACACTTTTTATGTGTCAATTGCAAATAAAAAATTTTTTTAAAATCCCAACACACAGATATTGTCTCTGTCCCCCAGGCGACTTTCAAAATGGACAGAAACAAACAAGAAAATAAACAACGGATAATTCCAAGTTGTGTCAATTTCTAGGAAACGTGTTTTGAAACTATGAGAAGGAACAGAAAAGAGTATTTACTTTTAACAAAAAATGGGCTCAGGGAAAGTCCCTTTGAAGTGTGAAATGATGGATAAGAGAAGCCATTCGTGATAAATATTGGGGAAGAGCTTTGCAAGCAAAGCAAACAGTAGTAGTGAGGGCTCTGAGAGTGGGAAAAAAATTTGTGATGTGGGAGGAAACAAAAAAGATCTACTGCGACTAAGGCTTGCCAAGAGGCAGGAGACAAGAAATGGAAATGGGGCACAAGGTGAGAAAGAGATGGATGAGGACTAAGATCATATGGGCCTTGGCAGGCCGTGGTAACATGCAGAACTTAGGTAAAACAATTCAACGAATGACACAGAAGCCAGGCAGAGAAGTGAGGAGAACATCAGGGGAGCATGACAGCCAAAGGAGGTGACAGCTGTAGGAGGAAGAAATCAACAGTGTAGAATGCTGAGATATTCTGAAACAGGACAGAAACACACAATAGACCGTGTAGATGCAAACCTGTAACTTTCAAAGTGTGATTTTGGTGTAGCGATGAGGACAAAGACAAAACTGAAGTGGGAAGTGAATGAAAAAGATATGAGGAACTAAGGAAGTATAAGCAAAACTTTCTAGATGTTTCACTATAAAGAAAAGCAGACAAAAGTGGGCCCGCAGACAGAGGGAAATGCAGAGTTCAGAGAGTGTATTTTTCTTGAAGATTATATATCCTGGAACATGACGGGAACAATTGAGAACAGTAGAAAGAATGATGATTCACAGAAGTGGAATGGTATATTTATATTTTATTGCTTGATAGGGATAGTCCTACTTCACATTATTCTCAAAATATTATCTCCCATATTTTTATTCTACAGATGAATTTGAGAATCATTTCATTTCCCTGCACGTCCTCTCATCAAAGAAGTAACTGAGTATCTGCATATTAGTATGAAATCTAAATATTTATCTAGGTATACTTGAAATATTAGTAGGATCTGGTCTTTCCATCTTACAACTTGGATTGTCTATTTCTTTATGTCTCTGCTAACACTATAAGGTTTGGTGGTTTCTTCATCGTGGTATTTTTCTCATATTCCTCAAGGAGCAGGAAAACCCTTAGTGAAACCTGCCTCTGTAGGTTGATGGCTTGGGAGGAGAGGCATTATGGAAAATGATTAGGTATGTATGTATCTTTTCATCAGTATATATATATAAGTGCCACAAGCATAATATGGCAATACAGCACAAGGTTTCCATTCACATATAACAAAGTTAAGTGGGAGGTTTGTTTTCTTCTCAATCTTAACATCCATATCCTCGTTCCATGTCATAAGAATGTTTGCATGTTTGTTTGCTTGCTATTTCTATTAAGGCAAAGAGGGAACTTCCTTTCAGAATTTTAATTGTGAAAACCAAAGCTGTCATTAGATCATCTTCAATCATTTTAATATTTTAGAGAGAGGCAGACCATCTAGCTAGGCGGAAGAAAAGCAGTGACCAGACTGTGTCCACAGAGATTGACTGAATAAATCTCTTTTTCTAATTCCACTTAACATGGGGGGACAGTAACTTGAAATATGCTTCATCTTACTAGTGGGAGCTGGTCAGGGTAGCTAATAGACAATTATATTAACTGAAATATCAATTCACAAGAATCAATAGTTACCTTCATAGTAATTAAAAGAACCTTGTTAAAAAGTCCTTCTGACATTCACCTGTGGAAAACTGAGCTTTTTGCTCATTTTCTTACTAAAGGTAATGAGAATTAAGCTGGGAATTGGCAAGAAAAATATTTTAGTCTTACCTGATCTTTGGCTATAACTTTCCCCTAAAACAACTATGCACCAAATGCTTACTGTGCAAACTAGTTTGTATATAAAAAGCTTGAGATGTTATTTTACATGAAAATTGAAGTCATTAGACTTCGATATAGGGACAATTTTTCTGTTCTATCTGCAAACAAATTTCAATAAGAATTTGGTAAGAAGCAGAATGGATCTGTAACATGTATATTTATGTGTTTATAGGTGTACTATATTTGCAGACATTTTACTAGATATCATGTTATTTTGTCTTTGGTCTTTAAGGAAATCTTGTTCTTCAGAGGACTGATGAGAATGACAATGTAATTAAGTACTATAATTAAAAATAGTGTACCTAAATGTGACTTATTAAGGCAATTCTATTTCATTTTCATGAAAATACAAAATTAAAATGGAAAACTCAAACATTTACATTTAATTTCCCTAATTGATTCCAGCGGTCAGTATATATCTTCTTAATATAAGTGGACTTTAAAATGTTTTTTGGAACATAGCTTTATTTAAAAGTTTAACTTAAGGAAATCATCAAGAAACACTACCTTTTTCATTCAAAATTGAACCAATTTTGATTACCTTATTATTATTTCTCTGCACAGAATTAGCATAGAGCAGTACTAAAGTCAACACACAGAGTAAATCCTGTTGGCTTTTGTTACGAGTGCATTAAATTACTTCAGAGAGAGCTGACATCTTTATAACATCATTATAAGTGTGTTTCTATGCACAGGCAATTCTGATCCATTTTCTCAAGTCTTCATTTGTGTTGTTCAGGAGAGTTCTACAATTTTCTTTATGTTGGTCTGGCATGTTTCTTAAGTATATTATTGTTTTATCTTTTTATCCTATCTTTAAATAGCTCATTTTTAAATGATGTCTGATGTGCCTTTCTAACTGCTGCAGATTCTTAAGTTTATAGAAAAAAAATAAACAAGACTGGTCAAAAAGACTGTGAAAGCGGAACTATAAAGGGAGATGAATCCAAGCAGATATTTAGAAATATCAAGTCTAATAATGAAGTGTGGCACTGGAATCACAAGACTGACCAATGGAACAGAAAGTTAAGAAACAGACCCGAAAATATGAGAAGGTATCATATAATAAAAGCAGCACCTCAAATCAATGGGTAAAAATGGGCTACTTTATAAAGGATACATTTGGAAAAACTAAAGTTAAAATCATATTTCCCACCATTATCAGGGTAAATTCTAAGTAGAATAAATTTTAAAACATTAAGGTATTAAAAGTCACAAAGTTGTTAAAAGAAAAATAAGAGAATTTTGTTTAACCTCAAATTGTGGAGGTCTTTTCAACTATGCTTGAAAATCAATAGCCAAAAAAAAAAAAAAAAAAAAAAAAAGACTGATAAATTTGACACCTAAGGAAAGTTGGGAAACCAACAGTATGGTGGGGAAAAATATTTGAAACTCATATAAAAAAATGATAGGTTAATTTCCTTAGTACAAAACAAAAGGTTCTAGAAATCAGTAAGAAAAAAACCCAACAATCTAACGGAAAAGTGTACAAAGTCTATGAAATGACAATTTACAGAGAAAATAATAGATAAATGGCTTGTATACAAATGAAAAGATATTTCGAGCTCAGTTCTAATGACAGAAATGCAAATCAAAAATAACCTGGATGATTTTTTTTAACTAGTCGATTGGTATGAGTTGTTTTAAAGTTTGATAAGAAACCTGACTGGATAGACTTCCAGTGCAAAAATGTTATACTTTTTGGTTGCTGAATCAAATGAATATGTTAATTATTCATATGAATGTGTTACCTACTTATGTATTTATTCATAATGTATTACTTATATAAAAATAGACAAAAATGCATATTTATATTGATATTCTAAAATGGAAAGTAACATTTTGCTTGACATCAACAAAAAGTAACTTTTATAAAGATTAAGTGAAATCAAATATATACATACATCTGGTTCAGCTAGCTATTGCTCCTCCTAAATCTCAAACCCGCTCTCTCATTAAAAACACCTAAATAAGAGATTCTCCTTGAGGTCATCAGAAATACCAAAAGAGAATAAAAGATGGACTAATTTTCTCACTATTAAATTCAGTGTTACTTTTTGTTATGACCAAGTTCCACCAAGTAGTAGCCCCGATAGTATACTTTTCTTCTTTCTATGATGTTAGATGTGAGAATCACAGCAAAGGAAGAATGGGCATCAATAGTAAATGGTAAATGTGGGGATGCAGGTAAGGAAGAAGACTTTAACAAGTTTTAAGCCTAGGTGTTTGAACGAATAGTAGAAACATTAATAGAAATGACTAAATCAAAGAAAATATGCTATATGCAGGAGGAGAGCTTGAATTCAACAAAGCAGATTCCAGGTAGAAATAATCAGTAGGTCTGGCACAATAGAATTAGGGACAGAAAAGACATAAAAGGTAGATGAAAAAGACTCAAGCGCATTGACAAATAATACCTACCAGCCATTTTTCATATTCATCAATAGCTTGTTTATCTTTATCTTTTTTCTCAGCTCTTTTCAGTTCTTCCTTTCTTTTCTCATTTATTTTTTCTTTTTCCTTTTGCTTGAAAAAAGCTTCCTTTTTCTCATTCCTACAGAGGATAGTATACAACACTGGACAGTTAAAGGAAAATACATAATAAAGATTCCCTAGTACATCTTTGACAGTAATGAAATTGAAATGCATTAGTAAATTTCAAGTAAATAAATTTTATAAAATTCTGAAGTGTTATTAATTTAAAATATGTCAAAATATGTATGATTTGGGATTACCATTTCTCAACAGCAGTTAAATTATCTTTCTTTTTCTCGGCAACAGTTTCCTCCTCTTTCTGTTTCTTTGCTCTTTCATATTCTCTCTCCTTTCTATTTTTCTCTTTAAGATATTCCATCTTTTTCTCTTTCCATTTTTCAAAAGCCTGAAAAAGTTCAGAATAATTTTCTTACTGTGAATATTTGAAAATAAATAAAAAATACATTAATCATTAATTTGAATTTCAAATGTTTTAAAATAATTAAGATGTGCAAAGCTCCCGAATACCTGTAGTGCTTCTCCTTTTCTTGCAGCATTTTCTTCTTCAGTTTTCTTCTTGTTTTTTTCTTCAAGCTTCTTCTTGGCAGCTATTTTCTTTGCTTCCTTTTCTTTCATAGCCTTCCAGGCCTCAAATGATGCTAATGCTTCTTCTCTTTTAGCAGCTCTTTTCTACATTGGAAAAAAATAATAGAGTGATATACATATATACATATATATATAGAGAGAGAGAGACAAATATGGCTAGATATAAATATTAGACAAATATGGCTAGATGTAAATATTAGACAAATATGGCTAGATATAAATATACACATATACATTTATCTTTAATCCTCTGATATTCATTGTACTTAGAAGTTAACTTTCAAAGTAATTTATTTAAAATGGCTTAGATAAGTTAATTTACAAAGAATGTTATCTGAATTATTCACTGATTTTAAAATGTCCTTTTCTAAAAACATTTATCACATATTGACCTATTAATGAGAAAGATGTCAACTATTATTTTTGAAAGTGTACTAAACAAATTATGTCAAAATAAACTGTAATAGGCTAAGTGGTATAGTAAAATTTTCATAATAATATATTTGAAAAAAATCAGTAAACTTATGGGCTTATCAACTAAGTTAGAGTAAGGCAAATTGGCCAAGTCATGCAGTAAGATGCAGATTTTTGGTTTAAATCTTAATTTTGAATAGTATCAAAACATGAAGTTCTTACTATACAAATGTATTCCAAATGTTGAAAGTATGTGCTCAACTGAAAAATAGGTTGGAGACTGTATAGCAAGTTATTATTTTATTTCCTTCAATCTAATCCCATAATATTCTATGTTTGCTTTATTGTTCAATATTAAATGACATAAAACCTTAATATTGGGGTAACATAATTTAGAAGTCAAAGTACTGTCTACCTCACAGAGCTGTGAAGATCAAATGAGAAGGGGTATGGCACTGACCACAGCAGCATACTGCTATGAACTTGGTTAACAAGATAGACAGGCACGCCCCCTGGAGGGCGGCTCCCGTCGCTACTGATGCATTATCGTGCTGTTCACTTTGGAAAATATTTTTCTTCTAAATCTATTTTAATATTGAACAGCACACTGGAGTTTTTTTTTCAGAAGTTTGACTTTAAAATATAGGAAACAACTGAGCGTATTCTAAGCAGGAGTTAGAGGAAGTGACTCAGTACAGAAGAGAAAGGAACAAAAGTTCACCTCCAGTTGATGGGAAAGGATACAAAAATCAAGAGCTCAGGGAGGGGTTGGACTTGATAATTTGTACTAAACAAATTATATCAAAATAAATTGTAATAGGCTAAGTGGTATAGTAAAATTCAAGAGAGAAAAGAGGAAAACTGAAGGCTAGCTAGTGTCTAATGATCCTTTATCTTCTTATGCCTTTTTTTTTTCTTTGAGACAGTCTCTGTCACCTAGGATGGAGTACAGTGGCACGATCTCAGCTAACTGCAACCTCCACCTCCTGGGTTCAAGTGATCCTCCCACCCCAGCCTCCCGAGTAGCTGGGATTACAGGTGCCCACCACCATGCCTGGCTAATTTTTGTATTTTTAGGAGAGATGGGGTTTCACCACATTGCCCAGGCTGGTGTTGAACTCCAGACCTCAAGGGATTCCGTCTGCCTCGGTCTCGCAAAGTACTAGGATTACAGGTGTGAGCCACAGTGCCTGGCCTTCTTGGCTAAGTTCTAAATGAAGTCAACTTTTAAGAGTGAATTAGGTGCTCACAAACAATAATAACTTCATAATCAGCAGGAACAAAGCTATCCTATACATATACAAAATTAAAATCTGTTTTCATGTAAAACAGTTATATCAAACTAAAATCTATAAAGTAAAACAGAAATAAAACAAGAAATCAATTCTTTAATATACAAGTTATTTTACCATTTAAAAAGCTGATTTAGAAAAGTTATATATTCAGGGATATTTCACCGAAATAAAAATCCAAAACATTTTTACTTCTATATGTCAGAATACCTGTTCATTTTGGATCCTTAAGTTTTCACTTTCAATTCTTTTTATTCTGTGCATTTCATGTAAATATACATTTTTCTTTTCTAACCACTCCTATGAGAACAAGAAAAAGGTTATATAATATTTAAAATTTCTTAAATGAATTAGAATTCTTTATATTAACATTTTCTCTGAAATTCACATGTACAATTTTCTAAAGTATACTATTCTACTTTAAAAAAGACAAAAAACGATCTTTTTTAGAATTGTGAATAAATTAATAAAATCTTTTTTCTATGTATGCCTAACAATATCTTAGGAAAGAAAAAATTTACTAACTTTTTGTTCATAATAACTCCTTTTGTTCATATAAACTTCAAGAATAAAAAAATGAAAACATATAGACTTTACAATGTTTTGGCTTGTGTTATATTTCTATAAATTGTAATGGCATATTCTTTCCTTAAAAACAACTATGATTGGTTATGCAAAGTGTGGAAGCAAATAATTTAGTAAAATATCTATGGATTACTCATATATTATAAGGAAAATCTTTCTCAATAAATTATTAAACCATAATTTCCTATCAGGATTGCTTTATTCTTTATAAACAGTGTTGGCTTATGAAAGTGATCATCCTTCTCCTCTTAAAAATATTTTCCTTTTTTACCTGATAAACAGCTGCCCTTATGTTATCTGCTCTATCAGGTTCTATGCTCTGTTTCTGTGAAGGTTTTTGGTCCAAGACTTTTAAAGTCCCTAAATAGTGAGAAGAGGTAGTTGTCGATGGAGTTCTCCTTTTAGAACTAGATTTCTTCAAAAACTCAGAGGTCATTAATCTGAAAAGATCCAAATGAATCAAGATAAAATATTACAATTGCATTTGGTACAAGAGAGATCTGTTAGAATATGCACATATAATATTTGAAAACTGACCAGGCACGATGGCTCACACCTGTAATACCAGCACTTTGGAAGGCCAAAATGGATGGATGACTTGAGCTCAGGAGTTACAGACCAGCCTGGGCAACATGGTGAAACCCTGTCTCTACCAAAAATACAAAAAACTAGCCAGCATGGTCGTGCACGCTGGTAGTTGCAGCTACCCTGGAGGCTGAGGTGGGAGGATAGCTTGAGCCCAGGAGGCAGAGGTTGCAGCGAGCAGAGATCATGCCACTACACTCCAGCCTGAGCAACAGAATGAGACTCCATCTCAAAAAAAAATTGAAAACTACATTATAATTTAACAAATTGTATTTACTTTGAAAATGATGTAGGTAAAATGTACAGCCTTAGTATACGAAGAGTATTAAATTATGTTGAAGGGGACATAATTTAAATATGTCCCCTTTAAGTTATATGGCTTTAAAATGATTGCTCTATTTAAATATTTGTAATTAGAAACTTTTTAAGAAATATGGACCATGTTACTTCTTCTCAAGTTACATGGAAAAAACAATAAAGTGGGTTATAATCACTCTTTTAATATTTATTTTCTTTCATCATTTTGTTACATGAAGCATTCCAAATATAAAATTAGAAAGAATAGTACCATCTATTTCAGGGATTGGTGGGAAAATCTGGCCAGCCATCGGTTTTAGTATACAAAGTTTATTGCACCATAGCTGTAATCACTCACTTAAGTTTTGCCTGTGGCTGCTTTCCTGTTAAAATAGCAGAAATGAGTAGTTCCAATACAGACTGTGCCTAAAATGCGCACGAACTGGCCATTTACAGAAAAAGCTTGTTAGCTCTGTTTTATTTGATTAATGATAATTTGACTAATGATAATTTAAAAGATTCAGAAGGTTTTGATTAGCACTTATGAGTTAGGCATTCATTATCACTGGTGTGAATGAAGCCATATAGATAATCATTTTAATAAACCTACTTAGTTCATAGATTCTGAAGGCTTTCAGTACAATTTCTCATGTTAGACAATGATACTTGATAATGAATAAGTATCATTGCTAGACTTCAGCTTTATTACCATTTTATATTGCTTGTCTCAGGAAAAGTAGGAGAAAGAAGCTCTATTTCAGAAGCAGTGTGGAGCACAGAGAATCCCTAATCACTGACATTAAGAAAGAAGAAAAATATTCCTAGGACGATCCTGGAGAGCGAAGGTATTGCATAAACATTCTAGGCACTAAAACAACCAGTAATAGGCTTACTTTTTATGAATTACTTTATTTCAAATAATATCATCAACCAAGGAGTTTTATCACGAAGTAACTACTCTTTTCATTTTATGAAATGCAAATAAAGAGAAAACACAGTAACACCAAATGAAATTTACTTTATGAAAGTTAAATTAAAACTAGCTTTGCTAGAATGCAAGCCTATAAATGACAAATATTGATCACTTTCTTACCTGGCAGATGCACTGGATGCTCTATTATTTGTTGACTTTTTATTCTTTATATTTCTATCTTCAATTGTTTTCTATTAAACAGAAAATGCCAAAGATGATTTATTCATAACAACTATCTTTGTTAGGCTTAGAAGCCAAACTGCCAGTAAATCACTATTCTTTAAGCATCTACTATGTGTCAAACACAGTAGACACTGGGAACAAATCAGTGAATAAAATGCCCTTAAGAATATTAAATTCTAGAGATGGTTGACCAAAAATAAATATATAAGCAAACATGACTCATGAAGGAGATAAAATAGTGTACAGCGACAGAGAATGACCAGAGTGGGGCTGAAGAAGTTGATCAGGGAAGGCTGTCCTGAGGGGCTGACATCAGAGCTGAGACAGATAATGAGTGCAAAGGGCCCACTTGAAAGTCTATGAAAGAAAGAAACAGCAAGTGGTAAAAGCCTGAGAAGGGACAGAGCTTGGCAGCTTTGAAAAACAGAGAGGTGAATGGAGCTGAAGCATAGTGAATGGCAGAGAAGAGTGGAAGACGTGGTCAGAGAAGAACCTTGTGCGATCACTAGGTGGCGATGAGGAGTCTGGACGGAATTCTTGTGATAAATCAACAAAAAGACTTTAATGGAGAATGATTCTATTCCTGTTTAGAAAAGGCCACTCAGTAGAGAATAAGAATGAAGCCAAGGGTCCAGTCAACAGAAATACGTTACAACCTTACTTCTTACATATAAATTGCCTGTTCTAATTTAGAATTGCCTCTATTAGACATTCTACAATCCTGTCTATAAACTCCAGAATATCCTTTCTCCTTGTAAGGAATAACTTTTCTACTTTACGTAGACTGATGGGTGCTAGTGGTAAAGTGAGAGCAGAGATATAAACACATCCCTAACTCGTCAGTGTTTTTTTCCTAAGGAACGTAGCTAAGGATGATATACCTGGCACATGGCTTAATGAACCTTCTCCATAAACGTTAAGAAAACTTGTATTTTATATTATAAAAGTATTGCTCAAACACACATTTTCAGCTAGCGCTGTTTTCTTCCCCCGATACTAAGTACACAGCACTGCTAGTTAATTGCAGCTATAAGAGATAATGAAAAATTCAGGAGAAACAAAGACTGAAAATGCTACACCATAAATTTTTAAAGTATAGCACTCAGACACAATTTAGTTTAGGAACAAGTAATCCTACATAATCACATATCTGTTTCTTAAGGTTAGAATAATAATGTTCCCCTCAACAACAACAAAAAATAACCGCATTAAAAAGAGGGCAAAAAATGTGAATAGACTTTTTGAAAAGAAGACATACAAGTGGCCAAGAAACATATGAAAAAAAAAATGCTCACCATCACTTATCATCAAACACAAATTAAAAGCACAGTGAGATATATTATACTAGTCAGAATATTTATCTATTATTAAAAAGTTAAAAAAGTAACAGATGTCGGTGAGAACACAGAGAAAAGGGAATGCTTATATACTCTTGGTTTTATGAATATAAATTAGTACAATCTTTATGGAAAATTGTATGGGGATTTCTTAAGGAACTAAAAATAGAACTACCATTCAATCCAGCAACCCCACTGTGAGTATCTGCCAAAAGGAAAATAAATCATTATATAAAAAAGATACCTGCACTCATATGTTTATCACAGTACTAGTCACAATAGCAAAGATATGGAATCAACCTAAGTGTACATCAACATATGATTGGGTAAAGAAAATGTACACACACACACACATACACACTGGAATACTATTCAGCCATACAGAAAAAATGTCTTTTACAACAACATGGGTGGAACTGGAGGTTATTACCTTAAGTGAAATAAATCATAAACAGAAAGTCAAATGGTACATGTTCTCACTTATAAGTGGGAGCTAAATAATGTGTACACACGTATATAGAGTATGGAATAATAGATAATGGAGACTAGGAAAGGTGAGAGGGAGGTGAGGGATGAGAAATTACTTAATGGATACAATGTATATTTTAATTTATACTAAAAGTCTGACTTTACTACTACACAAATATATCCATGTAACAAAAAAGCACTTGAACCCGTTAAATTTATATGAATTTAAAAAAAAAAAAAAAGCAATTTCATCACCTCTAGAGGTGCCAGGGCACCAACTCATTATTTTGAAAATTAGGAAATAAACGCAAAGGATCAAATATGAATAATAATAATAATGTTCCTGATGATAACCATCTATTTTAAAGAAGCACGGATGTTGAAAAACATTTAAGATTTTCGTTAAAATTGTTAACATGTTTCATGTTTTAAAGTGATATCCAAAAACATAACTCTAATTTAAAATCTCAGAAGTTATTCCAGATAGTTATATTTTTAAAATGTGAAGACCTATGGAAATATATACACTATGAGTATGCATTTCTGAGATATTTAAAAGTATATTATAATCATACACCTCTGATAAATTTTAAACACTGGGTTTTATTAAATTCACTACAAACTTTCCTTAAAGTGAAATTTTACTGGATTAAGAAAGAACCATGTGACAATATAATACCACTATCAAAAGATAAATTTTCCACTGGTAATTCAGAAGTATATAACACAGAAGATAAAATTTCTTAAAGTTCTGTTTCAAGTTTTAAGCTGTAGTATGAAAGGTATGAATTTTTACAAATACCTTTGAAGACACTGTTGCACTGGTAGATGTTAAGATACTCTGAGATTTAGATAGTAGTGGATCAACTGTTCTCTCAACATCCATAATCAGTTCTGCTTTTGCCTTTTCTTCTTCAAGGTCATCAGCAGTCACTTGACTTTGCTTGGATTTCTCAAATGCAGTAGTTACATGGTCTGCTGAAAATGAATTCTCTTTATTTTCATCGGATTTCAAGGAATTATGGTTTTCAGTGATTTCTTCATTTGGATCTATTTTGAGACAGAGTAATAGCATTAAAACCCCCTTCTGAATTAATAAGGTAAATACCAGATTCATTTGCTTTCTTTTAAAGGAGGACTATCTATAAACTTTTTTTCCTGCAAAATATGAAGAAAACTATCATATTAAACTTGCACAAACTTTTTTCAAAAGTGATTTACAAAAAAAATAGTCTACGCTTAACTAATGAAGCACTTACCAAATCTAGTACTTAGAAAAATAGCATATTAATAAACAGAATGGAATAACTACCCTAAAACAAAGACACGTCAAAAGAGCTTGTTGACATACAAACCAAGCAAGTGAGATGACAATATTTGTTCAGCTCTAAAGCCTGAGTTTCTCAGCTGGAACAACAGGCTGCATAAGAAGGTGTCACACCTCTCTAGGCTACTATAGTTATTAGTAATACAACTGTTGAATTGTATAGATGCAGAAAGAACCACGAATTAATGCAATTTTACACAGCCTCTAGTGAGTGTCATCTCACCAAGATGCAGTACCGCCTCTGATACCATAAGCAGCAGTAAAGACTATTGCTTATCCTCTCTGTGCTCCAAGAAACAGGCTCAAGCTCTGGCATAAGAAGGTTCAGTTTTGCACTTACAGAATTGCTTCTACTATTCTGATTCTACCACATTTTAGAATGGGATCACCAACTTTCAGTTCTACCAAGATCCACCTCCTAGCTAAACCTGAATCTTCACTATCAAAAGTCTTAATTCTGTTGGTTTCACTATGACCATTTTTTGAAATTTCTTTTGAGGTACGATGGGCTTAAAATCACTCAATTCACTATTGGATTCCTTGGAGCTGTTAATCTAATCAGTGAAAAGAACAAGAACTTTGGAGCTCAAGATTTAACTATGGCTCCATCACTGACCTTGGGTATGTTTTCCCAAGTCACTGCACTTCAGCTTTTCTCATCTGTAAAATGACAAAAATGATGCTACATAGTAAGCACTTAATAAATGTTTGTTACATATCTCAGACCTAGAAATAGCTATGTCTTTTAGCTTTCATTAAGCTACATATCACTAAGAAAAGAAATTATATTCACAACTCACATATCACAGTAAGTGCTTACTATGGTATTGCTGTAAATGCTTTACATGTTTAATTCTTACACCACTGTATAAGGCAGATTACTCTTATTTTACCCATTTTAAAGATCAACATACAAGGTCAGAAAGGTTAGCTACTTTGTTTATGTAATTGTGCCTGTATTCAAATCTAGCTTAGTCTCACTTTAAAATTCCACCTAGCTATTATGTTGTCCTGCAGAATATCAAAGCAACACATACATAACGATAGCTTATCTCAGGTGCTCACTCCACGTGGGCTGTGAACTAGGCTAATGGCTAAAATGCACTATATCACTTAATTTTCATAATGACCTTATGAGACAGATAATATAACTTAGGGAAATTGAGGCCCTGAGAGATTAAGTTCTGCATCCAAAATCACAGTTAGTTAACTACATGATCAGGATTAAAACTCAAACTCATAAAAACATGCATTTCTCTTGCAATTATAGGAAGTATTATTTCTCTTACAAACAGGAGTCTAAGTAGTACAGAGTTCACAAATAAGATATAATTATTATACATAACCACCTTTTACAGATGTGTTTCCCTCAGATCCTGGTGAAAAACAATCTCCAAGAATTTGTTTAAGTGATGATGATGATAGACTTGTTAAGCATGAATCCTGTTTCTGCAAAAAAATACATTTCCCATGTAAGTTTAGTAATTAACATTTTAGGGAACAATAGCATTATTAAAACTACAAATTAAAATAGTGCGTAACTCTGAAATCTGCATTATTAGTCATTTGTTGCTGAAACACAAAGTGTGACAAGCCAGTGGAGGTGAGTATGCTTTACTTTCAAGCCTTGATGTCTTGGTCAATAAAAGGGGTCACTGAAAGAGTTATTCAAGTTCTTTATCTAACTACCACCACCTCTCTATTTGTTTTTACCAATTTTCAAAACTCCTATTACTTTAAAATCACATTTCTTATAAATATTTAAGGCCAAGATTTGATTTTGATAGCTCTTCCTACAATTATCCTTTGAAGGAAAGCATAAAGAAGACAGGTAAATACTTTAGTTCCAAGCAAATATTACTAGTTATCCAAATGAAAACATTTAATAAAATCAAGTAAGCAGCTACTTCCAAATATTTAGATAGGAAAAGCACATAGACTGCATGCACTTGAGTTTTCCTCAAAATTCTGAAAATTATATCTGAAATGCAATGATTCTATTTGTGTATCTAAGGTAAACACTTCTTCATAGAATCATCTAGCCTAAAGGTGATGATATTATAATGTAAGAAGTTCCACTTTGTTGTACAAATCCTTTAATTTTCTTTCCCAGCAATATTTTATGGGTACAAAGGAAATTATATATCAAAAGCAATGGAGAGAAAGCATTTGAGAAAATGGAAGAAGTGCTGAGACACTGGAGTCTACCCTGAAAGACAAAGCTTCACCTGAGGAGATCTGCAAATTAGTAGCTTTTTGCCAGAAGGCATTCTCTACTCTATGCAGCTCCAGTAATAGAAGGCTACAGCCTTGGTGGAATGACTTGAGGGGACAGAGGATAGAGTCTAGGACCACGAGATCAGCCAATGTGGAAAATAGTAGAGGACAGTGACCACAAAATCTGCATATGAAATTCACCAAAAACCTTTACCACCTCTATTTGTGGCATAAGGGAGACCTCAGAGGATCCTGTGAAAGCATAGAAGCTAGAAACTGAAAAGAATTAAGCAGAAATTTCAGCTGATATCCATTGCAGGAGAAACAAGATTGGGAATTTGTGTCCAGCGATGATATCTGCTTGCTAGAAAATGTGTTTGGAGGGACATAAAAGAATCAAGAATCTCTACAAAATATCATTCACAACACCTAGTATTCAATCAAAAGTCACTAGATAAAGAAACAGAAAATGGTGGCACTTATTTAAAAAAACAAACAAACAAAAAAAAGAGAATGGTCAGTAGGAAGCAACCCAGAGATGACTCACATTTTACAGTTAGCGGACAGGACTTTAAAATAGCTATTATAAATATGTTCAAGCACTTCGGGGAAAATATATGCATGATGGCTGAAAAGATGGGGTATTTTATCAGAGATATAAAAAATATAAAAAATACCAATGGAAAATCTAAAGTTGAACACCACAGTAAGTGAAATAAAAAATTCACCTGGAGAACACTTATACTTTGCAACTGCAAATGGAACTTTCACAATATACACTTATGCTGGGCCATTAAAACAAAACAAGACAATTTCATACAATTTGAAATCATAAAAGATACATTCTCTGGACTGCAATCAGTAAACCTGAAGACTGAGTAATACAAGTTATTAAATGAAAAACAAAGAGGAAAAAAATTTAAGAAATATAAACAGAATCTCAGAGATCAGTGAGATATACTAAAAATTTCAATGCATGTGTAACTACAGTACCAAAAGGAGAGGGAGAAAAATAGGGTGGGAAAAAATAATCTTCCCATTTCACAGACAGTATCAACTTATATGTTTGGAAAGCTCAACAAACGTCAAGCAGAATAAACATAAAGAAAGCTAGACCTAGGCACCATATAGTCAAATTGCTGTAATTAAAAGATAAAAACCACAATCTTGAGTAAAATTCCTGAAAGCATTCAGATGAAATCAACACATTATATAGAGAGGACAATGAAATAAATGATTACAAGAGAGGCCAATAAAAATGGAAACCTATAAAGAGCTGGAGGTAGAAGGAGGCAGCTATTAGACAAGAAGGATATAATCACATCACCCACCCTTTGAAAACAAAGATGAGACAAATACTTTTAGAAAAGCAAAGACTGAGAAAAATCCATCACTAGTAAACCTGTATTATAAGAAATGTAAAATAAGTTTGTAAGACTGACAGGGCACAAAATGATAATCTGAATCTACAGGAAGAAATGAAGATCCCTAGAAATTGTATATATTTATAGATATATATTATCTCTATATATTTATAGATATATATTATCTATAGATATATATTATCTATATTTATAGATGTTATCTATATATATCTACATAATATATGAGAATAGAATATATTACCTATATATAGATATTATCTACAAATATGTATTATCTATAATATATTTAGCAATAGAATGTTATCTATAATATATACAATATATAATACAATAGATATATAATATATATTCTAGCCTTCTTTATTTAAAAGTCTAATAGAAAAAACTTAAAGGGCTCTTTAAAGAAAAGTTATAACTTTATTGTGGGGATTATATGATATGTAGATATAAATGACAATAGCACAATGGATGCAGGAGTATATGGAACTATATTTTTATATCAAATGTGAAACAATACCGTATCAATTCTAAATAGACTGTGATAATGTTTAGATGTATTCTTTAATCCACTGATCAACTCTGAAAAATATAATGCAAACAGATATAGATAAAAGGTCAATAATAATAAAAATAAAAAACTAAAAAACTCATGATTATCTCCTCAAAAAAAGGCAAGAAAGGAGAAACAACAATAAAAATAATAATTTTTTAAAAAGATAAATAGAAAATAAAGAGAAACAAATTGCTCCTAAATCCAACCATATCAGTATTTACATTAAAAGTAAATTGACAAAACATTCATAAATGGACTAAACACTACATTAAAAGGTACAGATTGCCAGACTTAATAAAAAAGTGACACCAGGTGTGTGATGTTCCCCTTCCTGTGTCCAAGTGTTCTCATTGTTCAGTTCCCACCTATGAGTAAGAACATGTGGTATTTGGTTTTCTGTTCTTGCGATAGTTTAGTAACAAACCTGCACCTTGTGCACATGTACCCTAGAACTTAAAGTATAATTAAAAAAAAAAAGTGACACCAAACCCTTATTGTAAGAGATTCACTTAAATGAAAGACAGAATTAGTTTGAAAGAGAAAAGATAGAAAAAATATACCATGGAAACACTTGTCATAAGAAAGCTGAAGTATTAGACAAAACAATCTACAAGCTAAGGAAAGGAACATTACCAGAGGTAGAGACATTTCATAATGCTCAAAACATAATAATAATAAATATGTATGTGCCTGATAACAAAGTTATAAAATACTAACAGAACTAAAGAGAAGTATAAACAAACCCACAAACGTAACTGGATATTTTAATACCCCTAAGTTGGTAACTGGTAAACAAATTAGATGAAAAATCAGTAAGGCTAAAGAAGATCTGCATGATATTACCAACCATGTTGACCAAACTTCAACTACACAACATTATATTCAGCACCTGGAGAACACATCTACTTTGCAAATGCAAATGAGACTTCCACAAGATACACTATCTTGGGCCATTTAGAAATAATAATAATAATTTGTAAAAATTTGAAATCACGTAAGATACATTATCTGGACCACAACAAAATTAACTTATAATTAACAGAAAAGTATATGTAGAGAAGAACCAAGTATTTGAAAATAAAATAAATCACCACAAAATAACCAACTGGTCAAAAAAGAGATCACAATGATCACTATATATTATATGTATCGAAAAATCACTATGTACCCCATGTACAATTATTATTTTTCAAGTAAAAAAATGAATTTCTAAAACAGAAGATCACAAGGGAAGTTAGAATATATATTTAAAGAAATGATAATAAAAATAAAAGGCATCAAAAAATCGGGGCCACTAAAGCAGTACAAAGAAGAAAGTTTACATCTTTCAACAGGTTTAGCAGAAAACATGAAAATCTTAAAAATGAGTGAGAAAATTTTCAAATCTAAAGATAAGCAAATTAAACCAAAAGAAATAATACTAAAAATTAATGAAGCTGGAAACAAACAATAGAGAAAATTATTAGGTTGGTACAAAATGATTGCGGTTTTTGTCACTGAAAGTAATGGCCAAAACTGCAATTATTTTTGCACCAACATATAACAAGGCCAAAGTGGTTCTTAAAAAAGTTTAATGAAACTAAGCAATGCCTATCAAGATTTAGCAGGAAAGACAGAAAACACAAATTATATATGTTAGAAATAAAAAATGAAATGTCATGATAATCTTACAGTCAACAAAAGAATGTGGTACTATCATGAACAACTATGTTTATAAACTCAACATATCAGATGAAATGGACAAACTTCTTGATAGACACAATTACCAAACTGGTAAAACAGAAAACTGAGTACTGAAATATCTATCTAAAAAATCAAATTTAATGACAAAGATGTCCCCACACAGAAAATTCCAGGCCCAGATAATTGTACTGGTGAATCCTCTCACCAGTACAATTAAGAAAAAAAAAAATACCAAACCTTTATAGAATAAAGGAAGAAAAGACATTCCCCAACTCATTTGATACCCAAGCCTGATGGTAACATTGTAAGAAAAAATTACCGACCAATAGCCTTCATAAATATAGATGCAAACATCTTAACACAATTTTAACAAATCAAATTCCACAATAAAATATTGCACCATGACTAACCAGAGTTTATCCCAGGAATGCTAGGTTTAACATATGAACATTAATGCACCAAAATTCATGGTCATCTAGAACCTCAAAATACGACTTTCTTAGGAAATAAGGTGTTTACAGGTTTAAACAGTTAAGATGAGGACACACTCAATTAGGGTGGGCCCTAAATCCAATGCCTGGTATCTTTTTTTTAAGAGAAAGAAGAGACACAGAGACACAGAGAAAACACAGGGAAGAAGGCCACATGGGATGAAGGCAGGGATGGGAATGATGCAGCTACAAGCCAAGGAATGCTAATGGACTGCTGCCAACCACCAGAAAGAAGCTGGAAGAGGCAAGGAAGGATTCTTCCATGATGCCTTCAGAGGAACATGGCCCTGCAAACACCTTGATTTCGGACTTCTGGCCTCCAGAACCGAGAGAATACATTTCTGTTGTTTTAAGTCTGTGGCAACTTGTTACAGCAGCTACAAGAAACTAGCACAATATTCAACTGACCAGATAATTTTCTTAAAATATAAAGTAATTGCTTGGGTTTCTTCTTCTGGTTTTCAGAACAAATTAAGAAACAGCATGGTGGTGTCAGTTAGGCGTATATCAAATTGTCAGTTTTACTGGTAAAGTTCAACTGCAGAACAAGATTTGAATCGATAACCTATTGTGCTTCCTAATACTTTCAGTCTGAATTGGGGGGTTCCCCCATTTAGTCAGAGCACAAAGGAGCTCCTCTCCGCGCCTTCTGCCTCACCTCCCAGGGAGCAGATCCTTACACACCAACACTGCAGACAAGCGATGAGAAAAAGAAAGAAGCTTGGCCAGGTGGCATGCAGTTCCCTAATCTGTCCAAGCAAATTACGGGGAAGAAATGTTCTTCCTGTACCTTTCCCTTCTGAAATGTTCATAAGAGAAAATTTGCTTCTCATAATGAAATACAAAGAGAAAAACGAAGTGTTCTCCCTTAATAACAATGCATAGTAAACTTCCTGATAGAAACCTGAAAGGCCACATTTAATGCTATTGGAACATAACCGAAAGAACGCAGAACAGTTTCATGAACATTCAACACACATTTGTTGAGTGAATAAAATCAAATAAATAAAATGACACTGACTATATTGTTCTTAGCCATAAATTCCATAATTTAAAGATACATAAATTTAAAAAATTATTAAAGATAAACACTATTATATAGATTCAGAAAAGCAACATTTTTTGACATTTTACTTTCTCTAAAACTGGATAAACTCTACAATCAGTGGTGTGTTATAGTTTAATTGTATGCATTTCCTTCTTCCTTAGTGGTATGTAAAATAATGCTACATTTTATAATTGGTGCAGTTTTAGATTCGGTGGAATACAGTATATTTTTAAAAATTATTTCCTTATCAGTTGCAGAAGAAAATATGTAAAACACACACACACACACAAATTCATTCTCTCCTTCTCTTTTTCATAATCAGATAAAAAAGCACAAATTCAAGAACACAATGCAGCAGTTTAGTGGTAGTGCTAACCTCAGGATCAAGGTGTTCAGAGAATGCTTTTTTCTCAGCTTCTACTTGTGTGCCATTCGGTATTGGAGGGGAAGAAGGTGCAGAATGTAACTCCAATTCTTCACTGAGGGCAGTTTCTTTATCTTCTAGTCCATCTTTCTCTTCTCTGTGACTATTCCTTTTTAACATACTCCTTGGCCGAGGTGATGGTTTAAAGTGATCATCTGTGTCAAGGCTGTTGTTTTCTGCTGAAAAATAAAATGCTTAAAGCATGTGTACAAAAAAATGACCATGGCTTTATCTATCTCTCTGGGTGCTACCATACTTCCCTCCTGTGCCCATGCCCCTTCGCTCTCTGTCCTGAAGAGTCCAGATGAAGCCCACAACTCTTCTCTATACAGAGCTCTAATAAGTCACAAATAAATGATAGTTAATAATCAGGCCAAATGCAGTGGCCCACGCCTGTAATCCCAGCACTTTGGGAGGCCGAGGTGGGCAGATCACGAGGTCAGGAGTTTGAGACCAGCCTGGCTAACATGGTGAAACCCCATCTCTACTAAAAATACAAAAAAATTAGCTGGGCGTGGTAGCTCATGCCTGTAATCCCAGCTACTCAGGAGGCTGAGGCAGGATAATTGCTTGAACCCAGGAGTCTGAGGTTGCAGTGAGCCGAGATCTAGATCATATAATTGAACTCCAGTCTAGGCAACAATAGCAAAACTCCATCTCAAAAACAAAAAACAAAAACAAACAAATAAAAAACAAAGTAAAAAAAAAGTTGTCATCCTGAAAGTAACCACTATAGTTTAGTTTCACAAGAAGTTAACTCTTCAACATTAACTCCTATAGTATTCAAAAAAAATGTTAAAAAACAAAACAAAATCTTGCCCCAGTTTCTACCACTATAAAATGAAGAGGTTCATCCATCAACTCTTTGAGTACCAAGCCCTGTACACATTACTAAACCTCATAATCAACAAAGCAGCAATGGACCTGTCCAGGGACTTTACAGGTTGATTTTTCTAAACAAAATTACAAAGGTAAGTGCTATTATAAGGATCAAGATGAAGATGTTGGCACCCAAGGGATAGGAGTGCTAACTCTCACTAGAGGAAGAAATCTTTTATGAGTTAATTGTTCTGAGTCAATAAAACTTCTTTAGCAGTTATTAAAATTTCACTATTTCCATTACTTCCAAGTTTAAAACAAGAATCTAATGCTGATATGCCTCCAGCATTTGAAACATAATGGGAAGACTTTCCATGTATATATTTTTTGCCTGAATTTTACCTGCTATACACATTTATGTTTCTATTGTTCTACAAATGCATTTCTCTAAACTTCAAAACTGTTCTAATTAACATCTTCCTCCCATTTACCTACAAACAGGCTTATGAACGCTGCCAGAAGATTCCACAACCATACCAAGTTGGTATTATTATAAATATTTCCTTGACAATTTTAGCTATCTCCTAAACTCCAGCCAAATGTTCAACCCCAAATCCAAGGGTCCTAGATTCCTCCCTCTATTATCCCCTAAATCCAAAGTATCAATATATCCTATTGATTCTACTTGCCAAATATCTCATTTATTCCACTTTCTACATCCCTACTGTCGGGTCCTTACCCACTCTTTCCTAGATTACTGCTTCCATGATATTTACAAAATGCAAATCAGATCACATCACTCCTCTCTACAAAATTCTTCAATGGCTCCCCATGATCCAATCCTACAGAATAAAAGCTTAACTGCCTTTGAACAACATAAAAGGGATTTTATGGTTTTGTCCTTCACTGCCTTATCCACAGCCATTTTGTCATCTGTGTTTCTGAAATGCTGGGCTAACAGTTGTCATGAACACATGCCACAATCCCTCCAATCCCTCTTACTACCATACCTTTACCTAAGCTGATCCCCCTGCCTAGAATATCCACTTCCTGCTTCTCCTCCTGACAAATGCTTCCATGTCTTTTGAACCTCAGTTTAAGCAGAGTATTATATAATGCCCAAAAGAAGGTATTGAGCCCATTTTTTGTATTATTGTGGTAAGAACACAACATGAGTTCTACCTTCTTAATACATTAAGTGCAAAAGACAGTACTGTTAACTATAGGCACAATGTTGTACAGCAGATCTCTAGAACTTACGCATCCCACATGACTGATACTTTATACCTGCTGAGTGTGTTTATAAACAAATGCTAAATAATAAAGTGAATAATCAGAACATTTATAGAGTGCTAAATTTATGCCAATACTGTTCTAAGCACTTCAAATATGTTAACTCATTTAATTGCCTCAAACTCCTAGAGGTAGGCAACTATTGTCCCATTTTTAAAGATGAATAAAATGAGAACAAAGAGGTCTCATGCCCAAAGTCACAAACTGTAGCAGGCTTTAGATCTCAGATTAAAGGAGAAGCATCCTGACTCCAAAGTTCATGATTTCAGTCATGTTAGTGTTAAAAACATATCCTGCAAAAAATAATTTCATTTTATAGAGCAACTGTCACTTCAGTAGTGATTATGAAGTCTGGTTATTATACTTTTTACAAAAGACAAGCAAGGACAGAGAAAGCCTTCAAGCTCTAATAGTTTCATAAAGCACTACTTGCTCCTCAGCAATATCTCACCACATTAAAAATATTGAGTTCCAAACCTGTATTAAAAAAAAAAAAAGTCAAATAATTTAGAGCATAAACTCATGAACCACATTCCCTCTTTCAAAGATAAATCATTCATATATTAATTTATTCATTAAAATACTTAATATATTCTATATGCTAGATATTATCTTAGGAACACTAGCCTCAATTTTTACAAGAACCTGAGAATGACAACTTTAATATGTTTTCTACAAAAATATCACTTCCAAAAGTACTGTCAAGTTCCCAAAAAGAAAAAAAAATGCCTATACTTTAAGAAAAGTGCTTTTTTTGGTAATCAATGTATACAATTGCCTATTTAGGTAATTTTTATATTACACATACCGAACATAACATTGCATACGTAAGTAGAGCATTTAGGATCCCGATGCCACCTTGTGGTTAAAATACAGTATTTCCTTATCCATTTTAATGTACCACAGGTTTTTTTTTTTCTTTTATTTTTTTAAGGTATGAAATAGGTAGATTATTGCTTTCCTGATTGTCTACCATAAACTTCTAATTATATACGTCCACCTGTCTCAGACAAATTTTTAGCTGCTATATGCTCGCATCCTCGTAATAAGAAAGTTCAATTATGTTCCTCTTCTCTGCAGCATTGATTTCACTCACTATACTTGGGAGGCACATTTTAACAAGTTAATTCTGTTTCATTATGCATCCTGTTTGCATTTTTGTAGTTTTTTATCGTTTATGAGATGCACTTCAATAAATTCTCACAACAATTTTGCAGGAATAGAAAGAGGGCTATTTTTAGCTTCTTCGTCATGAGGATAGTGAAGCTTATTTGCTGAAGTCATATATAACTAATATACAGTGGCTTTTCCCCAGGTGTCCTGGACATTATTCTGTGTTCTTTGCTCTGCTTACATCCTTTGCTCATTTCAAAGTTAATGAGATTGTGGGGTCAGGAAGAAATGAGCAGTTCCCCAATACATGCCTGAAATAAAAGTTTTGTCTGATGTTACCACTGGTATCTAATACGCAGAGTATGAAATATTTACCAGCACTGTATTTACTGATGATATGGAAGGAGATTTTTATGATGGTTAACATCAACTAATAATTCCTTTATACAACAGAAAGAAGATTGAAAAACACAAAATCCTTTACCTTGCATATACAAGTTCATGAATGGTGACCCAGAGTATGTGAGAGGGCTTGGTCTCTGTTTCATTCTATCTTTGTTCCTTTATGCTTAAAGCTCAGTATAATTGTGGGGAGAACTACTGTAACCCCAGATCACACTGGGAACTTTGCTTTGGAAAACTGAATCTTAGTAGAATTTCATAGGCAATACAGAGACCAAATGGAGATTCTCTTAATGAGCACCTAGAAGCTTCAAAAAACAGCAGCAGCAATAACATAACTCATCCTTCAAATACACAAATGTCAAGAAAATTTTCTGGCACAATGTTGGTATGGCAAAGATTGTTTTAAGGATTAGTCCCAATATTGTTGTAACTCTAATCTTTGGAGTGTGAGAGGGATTAGACAGCATTCCATTCCAGTTCCATGCCTACAAACAAAACTGAAGCTCACACGTCTAGGTGTCTGCAGATCCACAGCTACGGATGCTATGGATAACTAAAGGTGCTTTGGCCTTCTATCAGGCAACAGCCTAGATGCAAGACAAAATACAACAGGTCTGTAAAATTGAAGTTAAGTCTGTTTTTCTTAAATATATACTAGCTACCATATAAAAAATTTTGGGACTGATTATCTTAAAATAAACTTCCAAGAAATGCAATTACAGTAATCCTAACAAATTACCTGAAGATGTGCTTTTAATTGAAAGAATTCTGGGTTTAGGTTTCATTTTTATTTTGTCTTTTTCAAATTCCTTGTCCTTATTTTGAGATTCAGAGAAGGATTTTACAACGATGTCTTCACGCCCGTCGGGTGCCATTTCCTCATCATTTTTGATGGCACACACTGGCTCATCTTTGGTTATGTTACCATTTGATTTCTTGGTTTTCAAAAAAGATAGTTTTGAAGGATTCTTTTCTTCATCATCTGATATATGAAAGTCATTCATTTTTTTATTAACTGAATTTTCATCTGCTGAAGTGTCAGAAAAATCACCTAAGGAAACTGAAAAATTGAAAAGAAAAAAAGTTTTCCACAGTATTTTTAAAAATTGTCAAGGTAACGTTAACTTAATCAAAAAGTTTACCTTAAAAGCTACAAACAAAATTCTAACAATGAATACGCACAAATGTATTTTATGAATAGACTTGCAGCTCTAAAAACACAGCTAACTCAGGCATGTTTCATTAACATTTATGAAATAAAAATTCCAATTACATTAATTTATTCAAAATGTATTTATTGTGTGTCTTTAGGGTACCAAACAACCAAATACTGTTTGCTCTGGAAAAAGCCATCCAAAGGTCCCTAACAATCAGCCATGTAGCATTTAAATTAGGTTATGGACTGTAAAACTTTTATTTGAAAATTACTTCCTCATATAAAATTAAGAATGGATGAATTTAATTAGTAATTACTAATTATCTTTTTTTCCATAAAAATTTTGGAACTACAATTCCATCCACACTAGAATACTAGATTTACTAAGAATCATAAGGAATGCTAAGTTAACTATATAGCAGTGATTTAACTGTGGTTATTATTGGTTTTACAGAAATCATTAACAACTATTCACCAAATTTTAAAGAATAAAACACCAGGCTGGGCGCGGTGGCTCATGCCTGTAATCCCAGCACTTTGGGAGGCCTAGGCAGGCAGATCACAAGGTCAGGAGTTCGAGACCAGCCTGGCCAATGTGGTGAAACCCCGTCTCTACTAAAAATACAAAAATGAGCTAGGCGTGGTGGCGGGCGCCTGGAGTCCCAGCTACTCAGGAGGCTGAGGAGGAGAAGTGCTTGAACCTGGGAGGTGGAGGTTGCAGTGAGCCGAGATCGTGCCACTGCACTTCGGCTTGGGTGACTGAGCGAGACTCCATCTCAAAAAAAAAAAAAAAAAAAGAATAAAACACCAAGTTTAGAATTCCATATGCTTAATGCTTACACCTGCAACTAAAATATTAATATTTTTACATAGCTAAGAGAAACAAAATTATAATCGTACTGATATATGAAACAGGAAGAGTCTGTGGTTTTTAAATTTACCCCTTATCACAGCCCAAAAAAAAAATCTGATTTATAGTAAGCATTATAAAAGTACTTCTAATGTGCACCAAAGTTTAGTTCTGTGGGACCTAGTTACTAACTAGCTATAGCATCTCCTAGGGTTGATCTTAAAGATAAACCTGTTTTCTCCAATGTGGTTTACCACTGGCAGCCATCCTTTTACTGCAAATCTGCCATCAACTAATTTATATTTTCATATACACATTCAGAAAACAAAACAAAGCAACAACAACAACAAAAAACAACAAGAAAACTCATACGACTTCTTGAAAATTAAAAGTGGCTTTCTACTAATTAAAACGTTGAAAGTCTAAAACTAGTGACTGCATAGGTATTATTTTAACATACGTGATTGAGGGGATGGGTAGTTGGGGGGCTGGCTAAATACAAAACTAAGGAAGCAAAAAGAAGAAAACTGGTTCACGTTTCCATACTGTCACGTACCAATCTCATCACTGTCGAAGTCATCTGAGTATTCAGAACTCCTTTGTCTGGCTGAGCGAGCTGTAATTGCTCTTATTAGCTCATCCTGAAATGAGATACTGAAATCAATTTCCATCTAAACATGGAAGTATCATATTTACAAGTAATTCTTTAAACAAACAATGCTTGATTAACAACTGCTTTCAGACTTAGGTTTCATTCATCTAACAAATATTTCCTGCAAGCTCACTTTATGCCATGTACCCACTTTATGCCTCATACTCAATGCAGAGCATCACAGACAAGAGCCCTTCCTCATGCAGCTTGCAGTTAAACTAGAGGAGACACATATTATCAAATAAATTAATTGCGGGTTATAATTAGAGCTGGAGGTTAACAAACAAGAAGGGGCTCAATTTAGATTATAATTTATTAAAAACTGGTATTTTGAAAGAAATTGGTATTTTTAAGAGCTCTTGTCTCGGCATATTTCAGAAATGGATGCAATCAATATTGCAAACTTAGAGGCTGAGTTCAAAATTGTAGTGACTCAACAGAAAAAAACTTAAACATGTTACAACAGAAAAAAAAGTTTTTATATAAAAATGGCAATTTAAGGCTGCAATTCCACTTTTAACTTAGTAGGAAACTAGTATTGAGGCTACTTCGGCAGTCTTAAAACCATATAGGGGAGTTTGTAATACTGAATGCAGTCCAAACATGATCATGTGCAAAACCTCAAAAGAAATATCAGATTTACCCCTGCTTTATATAGGACTGTTCCTAGACTCACCAATTTCAACCCATCTAATACAGTGCTTACACTGTGAAATGATTCCAAATAAAAATACTTTACCTGGAAAGTAGTTCTTTTGGTAACTTTTGGACTCTTTGTATATGCCAAAGTGGTGCTAAAAACTTCATCAGACATAGTGTATTTTTTTCTCGTTACCTTTTTAAAATAGCTAATTATTAGAATAATTCAACTTCTGATGGTGGCTGAAATATACAAAAAACAAATCAGACTTTGCATGCTTGAGAATTTATTTTACTACATTTGATTGTATTCTCCCTGCAAAGGTCAAAGAAAAGCATCTCATATGAACATTGGGCTACATCTTCACTTAAAAATGTAAAAGGAGTTCTTGTAAAGAAATAGCAAATTATCACAAGCTTATTTTAAAAAAATTCAAATGGAAGATATCCTAAAATAAAAATTCAAATGGAAGATATCCTAAAATAGTTTTGCAACTACTTAAAAACTCTGCAAATAAATGATTACAAGTTAATAAGACAAAATGATGCCAATTAAAATAGAACACCTTATTTTTCACCTCTCTTCTAAAGTATAACATTGCCTTCAAAATTACTCATGTCTTATTTAAAAGGCCATCAAAAGGATCGTCGGCGTAAAAATTATAAGCACCACATCAAAAAAAGTATCTATATATTTGCATATAGCGCTATTCAGAGAAAAAGATCTTAATGCTAACCCGCAAACAGCCAGCGATATGGATTGCAAGCCACTTTCCTCTCACAAAAGTGTTAAAGAGAGCCAAGTAAACAAAACGACGAAGCTTTCGCAATGAGCCGCATTAAAATCGCGGTTTCCGTGCTCGGAGCAGAGGCCTGGCAGGGCCGCCCATAGCGGTGCGCGCCCCGGGTGCCGTTCCCTACCAGGCCAGGTGACGTCCGGGTGCTCGCCGCTCCTCACCACGCCATACGCTGAGCACCAGCGAACACCAGGCCCGTGCACGCCCAAGCGCGGTCTCTGTCGGGATCCCCCATGGTCCCCAGGTCCCGCTTTCTGTCCCCAGGTCCCGCTTTCTGTCCCCAGCCCCGGACGCCCGTGGCCAGTTCCCCGCGACCCTGAGAACCAAGAGCCAAGCCTCGGGTAGGACCTGCTCACCTTGGCCTGGGCCTGGCTGCGCCCGCAGAGCCGGTCCTGGACCGAGCGAGGAGGAGGGGCTAATAACAGAGGCGGAGGGCGGTTGCTAGGAAACAGCGTCTCCGGGAGGAAGTGACTTCCCTACTGCCGGGTCTCTGGGGTACCCAACACCGCTCTTCGGCCTAACGTGTCGCTGCGGCAACCACCTAGACGAAGGAAGTGACATCACTTTCCTGGGTCTTGGGAGAGGGGTTCTTTATTGGCCGCTTGTGTGCATGTGTTGTTGCCTAGGAGACAGGACCCACCCAACTCCCACCCAGATAGCCTTACTATTGCCAATAGAGTAAGGGCCCTTATCTGCACGTGTTGCAGATGAAGCACATTCGTCGTTTTGCCACAGTTAGGACGTGAAGTTCTCTGAATCCAAGTACAGTGTCAGTGGATGGGACAGAATAGTACGGTAGTGACGTTTGCAGAACACTGCTTCTGACTGCATGTTTGAATCCTGGTGACCCTTTCCTACACACGTGATTGTCCCAAGTTAAGGTCTTTATGACCCAGTTTCCTCTTCTGGGGGAAAACAAAAGTGTACTAATAATAGACAACTGAAAGGCTGCTGTAAAATTGAATGAAATAATGCAAGCGGAACACTTGGAAGAGTGCCTGAAATTGTATTCGGTACTAGATATGCTGCTCTTCATGCAACTAAGCTGCAAAGGGCCTGGAGAGAAGTCAACTCTTGTTATTTTAACTTCTGTTGTATAAAACCCAAAGATTAAAAGCTACAACATTGGATATAAAAACTGAGTCTTTCAATAAAAAGAGGAATGGGACAAATTAACTCAACATACTTTTTAAAAAATCATTTTTCCTAAAAGTACAATAGTTCCTCCTTATCCAAGAGGGATCCATTTGGAGATCCCCCAGTGCCTGTGCTGAAACCATGAATAATACTAAACCCCATATATCCTATGTTTTATCCTATGCTTACATACCCATGGTAAAGTTGAATTTGTAAACTAGGCTCAGTCAAAGATAAATAACAGAATAATTATAGCATACTGTAATAAACGTTAAATGAATGTAGTCTCTTTTTCTCTCAAAATATCTTATTTTACTGTACCATAGGTAGCTCACACTGTGGATAAAGGGGAACTATTGTACAACAATCTCACCATTTGCCTATATTCCCGAACCATTTTTAGCTTTTCTCCTCCTTCCTTGTTTGTTTCCTTTTGTTCAATGCTGCTGAGTATTCTCTAAGAGGCTCTTCTAGCTCCAATCACATTCTTATATCAACAGATAGGAGGTTCTTCAACTGTCAGCTACACATCTATCCCTGCTAATTTCTTCATTGCCTCCACAATTTCTATAAGGGAAAAGCAAAATCTGCACACCTGCAGAATTAGCACCACGTAGATGCTGCTAAAGGATTTTCTGCCTGTGCCCTCTGGAGGGGTGACATCATGTCCCCCACTGCACCAGGGCCCCCTGAGCAACACTTGGAGCAACCAAGGGGTGCCACACCAGAATGTGGGGACCAGTGACTTCAGGGATTGCTGGGAAGCAAACCCCAAGATCCCCAGGGCACCCTAGGGCCTTCCTTGGAAACTGTACTGCCCTCAATGCTCTCGCAACATGGGCCTGTGATGAGAGTGCATCCCAAGCAATCCACAAAACGCCTTCCGGGTTGCTCTTTCATTGTCCTGGTGAAGAGCACAGCCCTGATCCATGTATTCTGATCCACAACCTTTGTGTTCTCTTCCACACTTTATTTGTTAAAATATGGACAGGCTGAGAAGGCTAAAAATTTCCCAAATCTCTAAATTCTCTTCCCTTTTGATGATAACTTCTGTCTCTAAATCCTTCCTCTTTTCTTTCATTTTCCTGTACATATTCAAGAGAATCAAGCTGCTCCTTTAATACTTTGCTTAGGTATTTCTTCTAGCAAATTTCAGTCTCATTATTCATAAGTTTTGCCTTCCAAAACACTTGCACATGAACACAATGCAGCCAAGTTCTTTGTCACTTTGTGACAAATGTCACCTTTCCTCCAGTTTCCAATAGCATGTTCTTCATTTCCATCTAAGACTTATCAGAATGACCTTTCCCTTCCATATTCTTTTATTTTATTTTATTTTAGAGACTGGGTCTCCCTATGTTGGGCAGGTTGGTCTTGAACTCTTGGCCTCAAGCAATCCTCCTGCCTCAGCCTCGCAACATGTTAAAATTCCAGGCATGAGCCACCATGCCCGGCCCCCTCCATATTCTACAAACATTCTGTCCAGCTTTCCTCCTCTGAGCCCTCACCAGAATCACCCTTAATGAAGAATAACAGGGAGAAGACAGCCACCCACACCTCAGGAGACAGGCCTGGAACACAGCCTTCCTGCTCCACCCTCAGAAGAGACCCGCCTGCTGACAACTTGATTTTGGACTCTTGGCCTCCAGTACTGTGAGACAGTAAGATTCTGTTGTTGAAGGTGCCCAGTCTGTGGCCAGTCTGTAAGACGGCCCTAGCAAACTAACACAGCCTGGTAGCCCATGGATGGTGAAAAGATGGAGTGCACAATGGAGCTCCAGGCTTACTGTCTACAGCTCCTAAAGTGTGCTACGGGACCCTTTGGTGGATGTAGGTGTGCAAGGTAATTTTGGGTGGTGCAGGGTGAATAATTTCAATTTCCATAATAACGTATCTATCTTACTGGGTAAATCGGGGTCCCCACCTGTTAGGAACCAGGCTGCACAGCAGGAGGTGAGCAGCAGCCAGAGAGCAAAACTTCAGCTGTAGGAACAGCTCCTTCTTATCCCTTGCATTACCGCCTGAGCCCTGCCTCCTGTTAGATCAGTGGTAGCATTAGATTCTCATAGGAGCACAAACCCTACTGTGAACTGTCCATGCGAAGGATTTACATGCTACTTAAGATGTACATACAACTTAAGATTTACATGCTACTAAAAATATGGGTTTCCACACTAATAAAAATGGATGCAAATGAAAAGACTCTCTTGCTGTGGTCCCAGAAACCTCAATCATTCTATCAGAGAGATGTGTAGCTTTGATCTGTCACTGTCTTCCATCACCCCTAGGTGGGACCATAGGTGCAGGACAACAAGCTCAGGGCTCCCACTTATTCTCCATCATGATGAGTTGTATAATTACTTCATTATATATCACAACGTACTGATAATAGAAATAAAGTACACAATAAGTGTAATGGGCTTGGATCATTCTCAAATCATCCCTTCCCCTTCTCCTGGGTCTGTGGAGAAGTTGTCTTCCACAAAACTGGTCTCTGATGCCAAAAAGTTTGGAGTAAATGCTGGTGTAAATGCTTCTAAGAATAGTTAAGCAACTTAAGATTTACATGCTACTAAAAATATAGGTTTCAACGCCAATAAAAATGGATACAAATGAAAACACTCTTTTGCTGTGGTCCCGGAAACGCTCATCACTCTGTCAGAGAGATGTGTAGCTTTGATCTGGAGCTGCCCTCCCATATTCCGTCCGCTGTAAACCCCTGCAACACACACCCGCACACTCACAGACACATGCACACACATACACATACCAGAGTGCACACACACACACGCACTCACAGACACACGCACATACATACATACACACACCAGTGTGCACACACACACGTGCACACTCACAGACACACGCACGTACATACACATACCAGCGTGCACACACACACACATGCTGTGCCTCATGCCCTCACAAAGGTGGCACGGGAGGGAATGAGTATTTTTAAGAGAAATGACAACTCAGACCCTTGTTCTTCTCTGCAGACCATGCTTCCATCTCTTTCTTGGCTCTCCCTCTTAGTGAAAGACAGAAGCAGAGCCCCAGCCCAGTGTAACCAGCTGCTTAGTGCCCAAGCCAAGTTCACAAGCTTCCCGGGGAATCTGGTGACATGAAGGCAGTGCAGAGCCTCCCCCAAAGACGTGTCAGCTTTTGGTGGATCCTTGAGCCCAGGAAGGCAATAGGGGAGACATCACCGTTCACCAGAAAACACAACCAAAATCCATTGAGGAAGGGCAGCAGTCAAAGGTTTTACTCTCCAGAAGGAGTTCTCTGGAACTGCAAGCAGCAGGCAGAAGACTTCCTTGCATGTGTGGTTACTATGGTGACCTACAGTTTTCACTGGGAACTGGGATCAAGAGTGACCCTGTCTCCTATTCATGAGCCTCTCTCCCTGTCTCTCTCTGACTTTTATGTCTCTCTTCCTATTGCTCTCCCTCCTCTTCCTCTCAGCCTCCTCTGTCTCTCTCCCCGTCTCTCTTCCTCTCTCTCTATCTCACTCCCTTTTCCCCATCTCTCTTTCTCTCTCCTTCTTCTCCACTTCTCTCTCCCTCCTCCTCTCCCTCCCTGCCACTGTTCAGACAGGACTCCTAGGCCACCTTTCAGTGTACACGCAGGGCAGCAGGACCTTGGTCCCCCATCTCCCAGGGCCCTCAAGGTCAGGGGTGTGGACCTTTCCATGCTCTCCTGGTGGTCACCAACACTCCAAGGAGCAGAAACCGCAGGTCACCACTGACTCAAGTGACGCACCCGCGGGTGCTTCCACTTGTGATTGTGACTTCCATCTTGTGATCTGCTGAGGTCAAAGCAAAGGACAAAAGCTCAGGCCCGACCCTGCACCAGGGTGGGGCTAGGGGTCGGTTTGGGGGTAGAGGCGGGGATGGGAGCAACCACTGCAAACTGGTCCCTGGCCGGCTTCCTGTCCGTCACCCTGCCATGCAAAGCCTCCTCTCCTGCCCCTCCCCCTGCCTCCCACCACCTCCACCCCTAGGCAGCCCCAGACTCAGGCTCCAGAATTCCTCCTGGATCCAGGAACTAAGAGCAACCCCTGGACTCTGCAGCCTCTAGGTCAGGTGTCAGCCGCCCCTGCTGCGTGCTGACAAACCTTAGCTCTCACTTATGCCCTGACTCAAGCCAGCCACACACACCCAGCATAACCACCTTCTCCTAACTTTAGGCCTGACATCCCTGCTTTCTGGTAATCCCCAGCTCCAGGCA